CCTGCACTGACGGCTAACGGATTCCCGTGCAACACGTATTTAAATCTAACCCAGTTTAAAACGATTTGAGCGGTTCGGCGGAAAGCATTAAAATATTCATGAATTTTATATTAGTAGTATTATTATATTATACAGCTACTGCTGTTGTTTGCCATAGTCGGACTATGTTTATTACATTAAAAACGAGCCGGTCGTAGGAAATTCTCTGCGATGGCGTTAAAAAAACAGTAATATTATTACATTATTATATACATATAATATACGGCACGCGTGAGACACGCTGTATTCATTTTTTTATTTATTTATTTATTTTTTTTTACTGGTTTCGAAAACGTCAAAAGGTTGTCATTAAGAGTAACACTCGTATTTTATATTAATTGGTGCTACACAACAAAGCTATTACCAATAAAAATATAATAGAACACCTATAATAATAACCGGTTGGATGGCGAATGAGTGTGTGTGTGCGTGTCGGCTACTTGGGCACTCCGACGGCCGTAGCACCAGCGGTGACAGGCGAGTTCAAATAATAGCTGTAGATAATAATAATAACAATAATAATACAAAATATATTATTATTATTCGTGTGCGGGTCATGGTACGCGACGATAAAAATAATTTACGGCTAAAAATAAAGGTAAAAAAAAAAAACAATAATATTGCGTTAATCGATCATAAATTATAAAAGTAGTCGAATTAAAAAAAATATATGATTTCTTAATTATTATTTTTAAATAATTATGTAAATTGTTATAATCCGAGTTTTCCGTTCGTCACTATAATTTATGTTTGTGATACAAACAGTATCATTGCCATAAATCGTTAAGCTGCTAGAACTTATTAAAAATAAATTTTAAAAAACATTTATACAAATAAAGATTAGGTAATTACTATTTGGTTATTTTTACAAGCTTTATTTTCATGATAAACTGTCTCGGCGATGGGTTTCCGGGAGGCTGCTTTCTGTTCTCGTAGAGTAGAACTCATAGGGGTATTTTTTTGGAATAGCATTATCTGTCTGGAAAGTTTACCAGCGTTTATGATGTTTTTTTTTAAATTAAGGCAAAGAATTCTCATTAGTTATAAAAATGTATCAGGTCGGCCCTAAGAAACAAAAATGGATATTTTATAATGGACATTATTTACTGTTGAAATACAACGGTGTCAACAATTTTTTTTTATTCCAAAAACTAATTTTGATTTTACATTGATATCGTGATGACTTTGTTATTTGTAAGGATAATAATTCTTGTAATATTTGAAGGGTTCGAAGACGAACAATGGTGTCAATATCAGTAGAACTCACTGGGTGAGGAGAAGAGATCCTAGAGGTGCTGTCTTTGAGAAATTATGGCCTTTTTGACGTTTATGGCTTTTATACTCGATGTCAAACGCGCGTACGACAACTAGGTCGCATCAGAAATTTTGACGGTTGACTTGACTTTATAACTTTAGTATGTTTAAGCCGAACGTTAATATTACAACAATTATTATTACTATAACTATACAATCGAATGTAATGTGTATGGTATGTAAACAACGACGTTAACGATTGTGCGTTCTGTGACGGCTAACAGCCATAAACATAAGAAATCTGCACAAGCTGAAAAACATACATAATAAACCGTCGTCAAATCCTACTAGTCTTTTATTTAGTATAGTTTTTTTTGACATCCGACTCTGTTGTTTGTTAACAAATTTGGAAACGACAGAGATCGTAAAAACAGCATATTATACACATGTAGAACTGTTTGGCGCGAGTACAGTACGGCGGTTGTATTGAATGAGTCACTTGCGACGTCTGGATGCACTGCCAAAACTAAAAAATAAAAATTACACCATAATTACAGTATTATTATGATGTAAATAAAACAATTTATACATAATGCAAGTCGAGTACATACAGAGATAAAATTACGGCGACGTTTAACAAACACGGCAATAGCATAGTATATGCGTATTACTGAGACATTTTCAGCTCATGTATCCGACTATTAAACTTTTGGGCATAGGCAATTTATTTGTACCAACCCCTCACTTATTGGTGGTTGATAATGATTTTTATCTCATACTAAATGGGAAAGACTTACCAGCTAATTGTTGGACTCTTAAAGCCCTATTTCTGAATAGTTTTCTTAATGGTACCTTAGTTTTTTATTATTAACTACAGCAAGTTAAAAATTTTAAATCTAATTATTTATAATACGTTATTTAATAATGATTAAATTTGAAAAAAATTAGTTAATTAAAAAAAAAGTTTTCAATTCCCGTTTACAAGCCTCAACGCATACTTATCATTTATGTTATTGTCACAGCAATAGGTCTGACAACATTAATAAAGCTATTTACGCTGTCGAGAGCCGATTGTGTTTTGGTCATCGGTGCGGTCTATTTTCGAAAAAGGGGTTCAGTGGTGTGCGTAGCGAAAGACAGATTGAGAAACAGAAAGGGATAGGAAAGACGTAATACGTTTTTTCTTTTTTCTACCACAAAAACAGGTGCTGTTGCTCACGACGGCCCGGGGAACTTGTGGACTTCTATTTTTGGGGGTGCCTGGTCGACAGTCCTCTTGTTTACGCCGTGCCCATGTGCGTTTTGTAAGCATTATATTATTGTTGTCGTCGATATTTTTTGTACTCAAGCCAAAATCCGAGCGGTGACACGGGCTCTTTCCCCCCGGCCCCCAGTACACCACGAGGAGCCGTCTCTACAAATACCACGGCCTCAGATGCTTCCGCAGCTATATATTACAGTATCTGATAAGACATCTGAAGACAAACGCTGGTTGTCGTGACGCAGTGATCCAGCACTCTAACAATTAACGTCTCTCGACCAATTTGGGTTTCGTAATTATCATTATTATAGTACGGTGGAGGGGGGGGGGGAGAGCGTTAAACCGAGCGGATAGCTTGAAACGGTGACTAAGACGTTATCGTGTAGAGCAAAAGGAGGAAATAAAACATACATCGGTACATATACATTTTGTCGACCCGACGTGCGACGCACGCAAGGGCCACCAAAATATGATGTCAAAAATATATCGTGTCTATTCTTTTACTGTAAAGTTAACAAAAAGCACAAGAATCGCGCCACTACCGCCCGCCCGTTCCTCCAAGGCGGCACACCTGCGCTATTAACGCCGGCCCGTTGACGTTACCGATCATCGATAGATCTTCGTCGGAGGCCACCGAGGTTACCCATAATATCTCATATATATATATATTATATGTATATACATGTAATATGCGCGGTGTGTATAGTACAATACAACAAAAACCGAGTCCACATACGGCCCGTGTGTGTGTGTGTGTTTGTAAAGTGAAGAGAGCCACTTGCCATAGTCGGCGTTTAGAGCACAACCGGACAGTTGTAGCCCCCATACATAGGCAAACGACAAAATATTCCCATCATCTCGGTGTAGCGGTGGCGGCGACGACGACGACCACGGTCCTACATTATATATTATAGGCATATCTATCTTTCTCTCTCTCTCTCTCTCTCTCTCTCTCTCTCTCTCTCTGGCTACCTCATATCAGCGCGACCGGGGTTTAGCCAACCCGCCTTAGGCGATGGACGGTGCATTACAAAACTTGTATATGTAAGGTATGTCCACCGTGCGTGGTAAGATGAAATGTACGGTAGGAGAGGAAAAGACAACGGTCGAGCCACGCCCTTACGTTACATAGTACGCGGTAGCCACAAGGGCATTTGCAGATTTTTATCTATCTCGCTTTAGTATCCGGGCAAAAAAGCTTTGGTCCTAAACGTCGAAATAACGTACCCGTCAGGGAAATGAAATTGGGGGGAGGGAGGATGAGAGGGGATATTATCTCAACTCGCCGACAACAATCCGGGGTCAAGGATCCGCTCACAAGCCTCGCCGTCAAAGATGGGCATACGGTTTTTGCGGTCGCACGTATTCATACACACATACACACACATAGTATGTACAATGTAGGACAGACGGAGAAAGAACGGTTTCCGTATAGTCGTCTGCCTCTTTGATAAACCGCGTCACGTATGTCCCGAAGACTCCTGTGAAGTCCAGGTTTACTATACGTACGCACACGCGTCCTTGCTCCAAGTATAGGTATATACATACAATAATAAAACAACGCGTACCTCCCTCGAATTATTATTATTATTATTGTTATTTGTTGTATGTTATATGTTATAAAATAAGTTTAACAAAAACGCTTATTAGTACCCGGGTCGCCGGATCTGCAACTGTTAACGGAGCGAAGGGTGATTCGATTGCAATGGCGTTGTCAGTACAAACTACAATCGACGACCTGACCTAACCTAACCTCGAATAAATATAGTTATAAAGCTCGTGAATATATGTAAAACGGCGGCAATTCCGCCGCAAAAGGAACATAATATAATAGTAATTCGGAGCAAGTTGTGACATGTGTGTGTGTGTGTCTGCGAGAGATGAGTAGACGCGTGAGAGCAGACGGGCGTGTGCGCCTTAAAAGGTATCGATGGCTTATCGCTACTATGTGCGATCGAAGGAATGTCGCTACAGCAAGTATATGTCACGGATCCGAATGTTTCTAAATTACCCTCTGATTTGCCGTCTCAAAGTGTCGTAAAATATATCAACGTGCATCACGTTTATTGTCCACTCGGATGCGCCGTGATCTAGTTTTGTATGCGCCGACAGTCCCATATATCCCACACAGCATAACCCTTAGCCTACAACGAGTCCGAGACGCTCGCTTTGGAAGTTTCTTCGTCTCCGAATGTCCTGTCCTGACCTATCGAGACTCCAATTGAGAATTCCAGAAGGTACACAACCCCTGGGGATTCCTTATAACGGGCAATGTACTAATTTCTGCGGACACATTGACACGAGTAAATATCCGCTCTTAGTCACTCCTATCCGTGATCCGTCCTACTGAGGATTCCCTAGAATCACGTTGTTTATTATGAGGGTTTAGTCTCTTAACCGGAATACCGCATCGTTTAATGTGCGTAATTTATTTGTTTGTTTACAGTCAAACCGATCAGCGTGTGGGGACTTCATAACACCACTCTGAAAGCCAAGAACGCCTTGAAATTGATGTGCAGAGCGAGCGGCAACCCTATGCCAGCGCTACAATGGTTCAAAGACGGCGTACCGATTTTAGTAGGCAGACGGAGGATCCAATACAAAAAGTAACGAAAAGCTTACGGTCTCAAATATTTGCCTATAATTACTTTATATTTTTACTCTATAATAGTAAAAACTTCAAATTTATAAATATATATGTATATTTTTTTTAGGAAAAGATCCATGCTTGTCATACCAAGGGTAAGGACAGAAGACAGTGGAAAGTACGAGTGCAGAGGCACTGGAGTGCAAACCGGCCACGTTGCTATTTCGTCGGCTCAAGTCATAGTTAATTCCAAACCGGACAACAGTAAGCACCAACGATTAACGATATTATTTACTAATAGTACACAATATATAAATAATATAAATATAGTGGCCCGTCCATTGTGGTCATAACTTGTACATATCGTTCCCTTTTTCAAGCCAGTACATAATACATTGATGCCCCCCCCCCCCACTGTTGATTTTGGGAATAATTAATGACGAAATAACTAAAATCCTTCGGAAAGAGTATACTACACCTAACAGACCTCGAAGAACGCTAGCAGATTTTGTTCACATATTGAGCCGCCTGAGTAATTATTAACAAATTCTCTGTATTGGTGTAGACAGTCTCTCATCGATAATTGACAAACAATAGTCAACTACTAGTGAACAAATTCATATGCAAACGGTGTTTTGCACGACGACGTTTTTTTGGCCAGACGTTTCGATTATAAACAAATCCGTGGGTTTTATAGTAAACAAATAATATAATGATTATTATGTTCCGAAGACCGAATTAGATTTTCGATCAAGGCAACGTTCAAAGGTCTTAGTAATCGAAATTCGATTGACCGTTTGCCAAACGGCGAAACGGTGGCGTATTGAGTGTTTACACAAAATTTTAATTTAATTGTAAAAAAAATCGTTGCATACTGCAGTCTATCATAATTATTGTTTCACTGTAAACTTAAAATTTAAAAAAGAACCCGTTTGACCATAAACTTATTAATACCCGTGAAATAATAACAAAGTTTAAATGAGAAAATACATAAGGATTATTATACAAAGCAGTATTGATCACAAATACCTATTTTATTTTTTTGGTCTATTTAACATTTATTTCACATATTCTGTAGACTGTAAGCAGTATTTAAAATCTAAAATATTGTTTCTAAAACTGTTACACTGGTTAGAACAACAAATTGTTTTTCTACTTTTAGTTGCATAGTATCTAACGTATCCTTAACCATTTCCCGCAAAAGGAATAAAAACGGTTTCTTTAGTTTTTTTTTAATGGCAAAGATACGGTTTCTGATCTATAGACTAACTAACCTTCCGGCTTCCAGACAAATGAAAATGTATGTATCGAAGGGTGAGGGGAACCTCCCTGAATTTGTTTTATTTATTCGCGATACTCGATGTAAGAAATTCTAAAATCCGAGACTCTATCGATAGATATGTACATTTTGGCCATTTTTGTTGTTATTTGTTGATGATTTCACTATCAGTTATTCCGTGGACAATTAGCAGAGGGTGTTTGCGAGGCTTTCGACGTCGGTGCCGGGATGAGTTGTAGGAGACAGAAAAGGGCGGGGGAGGCGCTTGCACTGGTCAGACTCGTATTACGTGTGGGGTCGTTCATCGCGGTGGCCGTTTTCTGGCTCGCGCTCGCACACACAATATAATAATAATATATACACACCATCTGCCGTTTGGTGTGTTTCAATCAATGTGAGAATACTCGTACGTGCTCGGTCCACTCCCAATACGGCTAATACGAGTAATAACGCGCGTACAACGTGCACAGAAATAAAATAATTTTTTTTTTTTTTTACCTTCCTCCTTTCGAAAACGCCTACGGGTTTTTTAATCGGTCCACGACGTACCGCGCAAATGTAATACTAATACTAATAAATAATAATAATTGTAATTGGTCATATATTATGGAACGGCCGACGTCGACGAGCCAGGGCGGCTCTAGGCAACTGGACGGATGTAAAAAATGCCGGTACAGCGAGATTGAGGCATAGCCTAGGGGAAAATGTATAATAAATATTGCAAAAAAAAAAAATCTATAAAACTACTAATATTTTTACACATAAAGTGTCTCACGTCAAACTGTTCACTCTGCGTACATTTCTGTCTGAAAACACTCATACGGAAACGATAAGTACACAATTTGTATAATAAATTATAATGTGTATGTAATGGCGTTTTCGGTTATTTCGGGCGGATTTTCATAAATTAAAAAAAAAAATTGACAATTTGTGTAAAACTTGTAAAATATTATTATCAGTTTCATTGGCTGATCTTAAGTTCTAAAGCTATACCTGAAAAGGTGGAATAAAAAAAATTACTGCCCCTTCTGAAGAAAAAGGTTAGTTTCTTACTGTATACCGCTAGAACTGTTTCTAAAAAGTATCCCATTTTTCTAAAAGTTCAATAGTTTCAAAGGTGTTGTAGTTTTGAGATGAAAATGTCGGGTGTTTTACGTTTTTTTTTTTTTATTTGAATTTGAAGGAAAGAGATAATATTTTTTTTTATTTTTGGCCTTTTAGAGTACCTTTTGGGTACAATTTCTGATATACAAACTTTCTATATGAAGAAATTCGCCTCGCGTTTTGAAATATATTCTGGAACCCAGGCTTAAATGTAGAAAATAAAATTAAAAAATACTTCATTGTAAAAAAAAAATTACTTTCTCGACTACTCATCGAGGCTAAAACATGTCATTACAACGCGTTTTCAGCTAACCTAACCTAACCTTTGACTTTGAACTTATGTTGTTTCCGGTCAAAGATCATCGCGCGATACCACCCGATATTTGGTAAAACGAGGTTAACCAAAGATTGAGAGAGAGAGAGAAATACAAGTTACATTAGTTCCTCTGTTGCTTTGCGCCGTAGTAAGATCGTTAAACGACGATCTGATCTTAGGGCCTGGGGATAAATAACCCACAGTTTACTGCACACACACACACACTCAGTGGTATTGTCTAATTCGAAAAAGGGTTGTTGCAAACCACTAATTAACTTTGATGATTAAATTTGTGTGTGGGAAAAATAATCCGTCCACAACTCGTTCGAAATTACAAAAAAACAGGATCGATAAACTCGGGATCAATATTTTTTTTCAATATATTTCTGGAGTCGGTAAAATTTGATAGCTTTTAAACCCCTCCATTGTGGTAGGAGTTTTTTTATATTTAATATTATTGAGTATATAATATTGAATATTCAAAATGATATCGTTCAAACTTCAAAGTTTAGACACGCGCCTGAGATTATATTGTAGGACTATAACTATTACAGTAGGACTTGGGTAGGATAACTGAGAGCATACAATATTCCTATAATCTTTTTCCTCGTTTATATAAAAAAAAACAATTACAGTTATAGTATTTGTTACACATTCTTTATTAATAAATTGTAGCCTAAAACTTTGACGATTTTTTTGAGGGTGTGAGACAAGTGCACTTGACATACTATATCGTTTTAGATTTAATATGAAAATCGCCCAACTCTGGTGTTCCATCGGTAGGTATCGATGCGGTGGTACACGAGTCACTTGGGCGGCCAAGAAAGAGAAGGAGGCGACCAGACTTATAGGCGAGATTCAATAATGTAAACAATCCATCAAGGAGGCCGGCCCGACCGGCGGTTAATTGGGTTATCCTCGGGCTGTTTGCGTGCGGCATCACACACACCGGTTATAATATTATGCTCTCTGTGGCCGCTCTTTGCCTTGTGTTTTACTACTATATAGTCAAAAAAGCAATAACACGTAGTAACGTGAACTGCTATAATATACTCATCATCACTGTCGTTTTTTTTTTATCTTTATTCGTTTTCTCTGTAGGTACATTCCGCCAGGAATCCCAAAGCGATATAGACATTTTACCTATTAAATGCACACAACAGCCAACTCGTGGACCCCCGAGTTGGACGTATATGCTACTAGAATCTTATCGGATTGTTCAAGCTATCCCTATGTTTTTCTCTCTCTGGCATATATGTTTACGGTTTCATCGATCGTCGTTGTATACACCACTGTCCGTTATCGGTACGCTCTAATACGTTTACAAAAAGGCCAATGTCGACATTTTGGAAAAGTCGTTTTGACTGTTAAACATGTCTAATCAATCTCTCCAATAGTGTTAACATCCTCTATAACAGTGCTCGAAAAATGGCACTCCCAACTTCAAAAACTGGAGAGTTCGTCGAAATAATATACTATAGGGTGAAAGAAGGTATTTTCGTGGCATAAGCAATTTCGTGATATAGTTTGTTTGATCGTATCGCGTAATTTCCTAATAGAAAATTGTCTTAAAAATCACACTGATTGTTAAATAACAGTTATTTTAACAATCAGTGTGATTTTCAAGACAATTTTCTAATAGGGAATTACGCGATACGATCAAACAAACTATATCACGAAATTGCTTATGCCACGAAAATACCTTCCTTCACCCTACTGTCAATTTTCAAAATTTTACAAAGTTACCGCCGCAAAGTCGCACCTCTAGCAATACTTGACCTTTTCAGTTTATGTGTAATTTTGTAATTTTTTTTTTCATTTACAGCGACAGCCTTGTGGCCGTTGGTCGGCGGTCCCTGTCCGGCAGATCTCGTCTATTGTTTGAATGGAGGCACGTGCACGTTCTACGAAACCATCGGAGAACTCGTGTGCCAGTAAGTATATAAACGAAAAATATAAAACAGTAATTTCATCTAAAATTATGAACATTTCACTAACAAGACCATCCGTACGGTTATAGGTGCGCCGAAGGCTTCAAAGGCCAACGATGTGAGAACAAAGACATTGTTAACAAAAGCAGTATGTATGCCCCGTCTTTGCCTTATTTCTGTACACTAGGCTTATCCGGATCCTATTACTGTCGTTAGGTTTATTATAATTATTATACGCAAATTTAATTCAGTATATATATATATTGATACAAATATACATATATTATTTTTTAACTATCGAAATTAATTCAAAATTTTTACCAAAGATTTTTTTTTAAATTTAGTAAATTTATTTCCTGGGCTGAAAAGTGTTATAATCAAATTCTAATTTTTTTTGTGTACATACTATACCATTTGTATATTATATATATTTTTTTATCAAAATTTATTTATTATTATTATTATTTATATGAATATTATTATGATTTTTTTTTTTTTTGGATCACTTACATCTAGTCATCAGTCCTATATAAATTTTACTTGAGTGTAAAGTTTAAAAAAAAATTCACGAAATTATTTTGCGGATTATTATTATTATTTAAAAATTTATTTTTATTTATACTTTATTCAATATTTATTTTTGATATAATACAAAATTATTGTGTAAATAAAATGACTTGTACAGTATTCTGATAAAAAAAAAGGTGAACAGTCTTTTTATTTTGCTTTTTTATTTTATAAATTATTACTATTATTATTTTTATTATTATTATTATTATTATTTTATTATGAAAATTATTTTCTTTTTGGTTCATTTGTGTCATATAAGCTTCCTATTTTCTTTGCCAAGTTGTATATATTTATTATACAGTTATGTACGAAGGAACGGAGCAAATTAATAACTTGTAGCCAACGAACAGCCACTGCATATTATATTATGTTTTATTTTCGCTTTTTACTTCTCTTTTGGAAGTGGCGGGTGATGATATGTGTACAAAAAAAACTATCTTTCCCAAAATTATTTCATGCAATTTTTTACACACGAACTGGACGAGTCATTTGAATCGGTCCCAAACATACACAAGGTAATAATATAATTCAAATTAACAAAAAAAAAAAAGCAAAACAAATTATTACCGAATGCAACAATATCTATTCATGTTTTGCTTTGAATAACCAACATTATTACTAACATGCTAACATAATCATTAAGATTCATTGCCGTAGTCTGCTTACACTAACAATAAGGGTTTTTCTTTTTACTCAAATTCAATTCATCAAGCCCAATCTTAATCCTGGACGGTACCAATAGTAATACAAAAAGCACGTGTAATACGCATTTTTTATCACAATAGTATTATTATTTTTGTCGTTTCACGCAATTATTGTTTTTTTTCGTTTAAATTGAATACCGAATTATAAACCTATTATTATTATTGAAATCGCCCATGGTGTATACTATTTGTAGAATTCGCTGTAGGTGATATTATAATAGACAGAATAATAATATATGATCGCTGTATTGTTTGTTTGGATGTACATATGCATTATACCGATCATTATTGTTTAATGTTTTTTGCAGTTTGATCGTATACAGTACACGGTGGGGGTGTGGATTTTTGTTTGCAGATTCCAAAAACAAGAAACAAAACACCGTTGAGAGCGATGCGAACCATTTCGGCTGGCGGCGCGCTGATACCTTCTTGTTATCAGTAAGTAGAACTCGGTTAATGCCGAATTGATAACAACAATATCAATTGGGATTAGACAAATTAAATTTCTTAATCCTCCCTTCTTTCCCAAAAATAATAGATGTGTAGTTCTAGGCTTCACTAAAGTCAAACGATCTCTGTTAAGTCGTAATTTCTGTGCCAAGTGTGATACATGTCAGACACACTGCCCAAAGCACTTCGCCAAAATATTTTAACTCATTGATAATTTATGATGAAACGGTACATCCATTTGGTTTAGATATTAAACTGAACGTTACTTTTGATTATTTTACTAATCTGATGTTTTTTTTTTCATTCCCTACTAATGAAAATAGTTATTGAGTTTTCCATAGACACTTCACCAAATAGTACATAGACTATATTAAGCTATCTACAACTTATTTTCACATAACCACATCAAATTAGGAACACAAGTTATTATTTCTATGAACGTCCAAATAAAAAACAAGCATTAAAAATGCTTGGCGACAAACGCGTTACTAGATAAATCCTAGTATGATTTGGCACCAGCTAGAAGTATATTAAAATCCCATGTTATGTTCATGCGAGTACGCACTGCTTAGTTTTAATTTTATTTATTATGACCTTACGGACCAAGCCAAAAGTTGTACGAGGTTCTTTAATCATTATTTTTTTTTAACGCATCAAGAATATCCAAATGTTTTAGCCAATCCTAAATCTTTAAAACTGTTATTATGTTACACGCTATATTATACTTATTATCTCAATCATCATATAGTTTATGATCGTTGGACAATGGGAGTAAGTCAAAATTACGATAATATTTTTAATAAGCAAAGTAAACAAATTGTTCAAGTACCATATGAATTCTTAGCTAATTGTCCCCCTGGTTAACTATATTTATTCTACAACCAATTAAAAAGGTTAATAAATTGTACTTGTGTTCGATCAAGACAAAATTAAATTTCGACTACAAAAACCCCAAGAGAGTTTAAGAATAAACGGGTCTAAAACAGGTTACTCACAGTTTAAGTTTTGTACTTAGGAATTTTCAAAGGAGCTAGAGGACTTGTTTTACTTGGAGAAGTAGTAAACTCCTAAATTTCGTAGACAAATTTAGAGATGTGCTGAGTTGAATAAAATGTGGTTGTATCATGGAAAGGGTAGAAAGAGGTAATAGGGTTTTTTTTGTCAGAAATGTGTCATTTAATTTACAGGAAAATTATATCTAATTGAAATGAAGCCACTAATGATGAATATAAGTGAATGTGAGGACAATAAAAATAGCTCAAATTAGAATGTTGAGATGGGTTTGTATAGTGTCTACATGGAAAAAAATACATACTTGGACCATCTAAATTCTAAAATTATGATTTATATAGGAACGCGATAGTGTTCAATTAGTATTTATAATTGGGGACAACTAAACATTTGATTGACCGAACTATTTATATAATTATTCGAAATATGTATTGTGTCCCTATACCTATTAACCATTATTTTAGTTGGTCAAACTATGTATTTTATCCTTGTACACAGACGGATGAATATATACTAAGTAGTTTGAGAATCGCCTAAGGTCTAAAAGAATAAGAAGACTACGAACACATGTCTTCTTTTTTCCAAACAAATTGATATTGTTTAAATGATGCGTAAATAAACCTAAAAATGTTTTTAGGGTATACAGTTGAGCAAGTAGGTTTTACAGCGGTAAAAATTGCCCCTTATGGGTATCATAAGCTCTTAGGCCTTCATTATTTTATTTTTGTATCGGGGAAGGCAACGGTTTTAGTGGTTGATATAAAACAATTCAGAACAAAAAACGAAAAAAGTAGGTATGCATACACATAGCGCCTGTCCGGAATTCCAAGAAAGCCGAACTTCGTTATAAATGAAATAATTGATAATATCAAACGGCAAAATTTTGGCTTACAAAAAAAAAACCAATTGTCTTTGTTGTGTACACGATTATTTTTTCTTCTCGCTCGGATTCCGACGTTTATTTATTTTTTCGTTTTTCATTTGATTGACAGATGTAGCAGAACATTGGACAGCGGCACTAACCCGAGAACATTCTACAACAAACACGGATTGATGAATACAATACAAAATTCTAAAAATTTTTTTACAATAATATGTTTATAATAATATATACGACGCTAAAAATAATACAATTTTATTATTATACACAAATATTTTGTACGAGACAAAGCTTCAAACAAAAATACCAACAACGCTATAATGCCGACAACAACGATATTGTTATTATTATTATTATTTTATAATTTAATCGCCCTTGATTGTTGTTTCTAAAGGCAAAAAAAAAAGAGAATGAAAACTCTCTAAACTAACAGTTAACTAGCAATTACTGCGTTTATACTATTATTATAATAACTATAGTCCATATAAATAGTTGCATCTAGTTAATTACAAAATCTTAGTGGACTTATTACGTTTAATATTATAACACATATGGGCTGTTTAGATATACTTGTTAACTTATAATTAGTCAATAAGTAATTTATTATGTAATTACATTATATAATTTATTTTTGTTTGTTTATATGTGTGTGATTAATATAATTATGAATTAAGGCTAAAGGTTGTGATGTTTGTTAATGTTCCATATATTTTTTTTAGTGTTTTATACAGCTATTGTACGTACAATGTATTGTAACGCTTATTTTTTTTTTAACCAAAACCTAATGACCGTCCAATTTTTTTTTTTAAATATGCTTTTGTTCTATATATATAAAAAAATTAATTCGATATATATTATATTATATATCATTTTTTAGATAATGCTTACAGTTATTATTATATTATACTATTAATCCCGATAATTATACACTTGAATGGGTTAAATATTTACACATATTATGTATACTACTTATACTTATCTGTAACATTGGTCTAAAATGGTCAATCTCAAAGTGCATCCAAAATAAGTCAATTGAAACTCATCACACATAATACACATTGTGACACTTATTGCACTTAACTGTCTTTGTTATCACACCTCTCAATGTTTTCATTGTAATTATATAGTAATATTACTGAGTTTGTCTTAAGACCTTCGTCCAATCGAAAAACGAAAATTGCCAAAAGTCGTCTGACATACGAGATTGGTCCTCTTTAGATCAAAGTTCGGATATAATTTTGGTTCCTTATAGTAATAATAATCGCATATATTATAATATACTTAAATAAATAATTATTATGAAATGTAGCAGTTAATAACATGCATTTGTCAAAGAAATACATTGTTAATAGGTGAAAAGAAAATCCCTATAAATTTAATCTGTTGTGTACAAAAATAACTCTGCGAATTTTTTTTTGTAACAACACCTAAAAAAATGAAGTTAAGTAATAGGTACATGCACACAGATTCAAGCTAAAATATTTCTGCTTTGAAAGCAATATAAGTCGTTCAAAAATTACATCAACCTAGTATTCTATGAAAGAAGGCTATACAATAAGGCCTATGTAATTTGTCTAAGTACTAAGTTATTAAAGAATTTTAAAAAAGTTTAATTTAGCGTGATTTTTTAAAAACCTCGTTCATTAAAAATAAGGGGTTACCTGCTTGTTTTTAATTTAATCTAATTCAACAGTTTAGTGTTTAAAAATTATCAAATGTGTTAAGTTAAATTTAAACTGGTGTTGCGCAGTGGAATGTAAATAATTTAATTTTGCATTTTTGTACTTTACGAATAAATAGGTACAGTCCTAAATAGTTTTTCCGTTTTATAAATTAAATAGTCTTTCAGTTTCTTAAGAAAAAATATCGAAATAAATGATAAATAATTTAACAAAGCCCACAGTCTAATCTAATGTACGTATTAAAGAAAATATGTAAAAATCAACAAACTTCGCAGTACAATAAAACGTATAGGTTAAAAGTACATGACATGGCAATTAATCAATGAAATTACGATTTTTGTATATTTGGGTTATTTAAAAATCTATATTCTATGTACACTAGTTTGATCTACTGCATGATATGCCTAACTTACCTAATATTGATATTTAGCTACAATAATTTTAACCATAGTTGTCTTTGCGTGTAACGTATATTCTATTCCTACCATTATTCTAAATATTAAGACAATAAAAAACTAAAAAACTTAATAATGTTTTGTTATTGCCGTATGAAATAATTGTGGTACATTGAAAGTACACATAAAAAAGTAGTAATTATTGAGTGTAATCAAAGAGTATATATACAAGTGTTGTACCACAATAAATACATTATTATTTTCTTGATCTTTATAAATAGGTATTCAAGTGACCGTGTAATCTTGAAACTTTACACTCATACGTAAGCAAAATATCACGAAGATTTTATTAACAAACCGCTTTTGCCATTACCGCACAAGCCGCATAGTGCTAAGTTTATACTAGAACCTACCTTAAGACGTGACAAAAAGTAGTGTACTCTGAACTATAAAAAAAAGTTATCTAACCTGTAATTATTTTAGTTCTCTGTAAAGTAGTGCTTTTACAAGAAACTTTGGCAAACTCCGTAAAATCAAATTAAAAAAGTCGAAGCCGAAGTAGCAAACCTATTTTTTAATTTCTGGGGACCATTAAGATGTCTGCCATGCGGCTGAGGAGATTGTATTATAAAATATATATACTTATTTGAAAAAAAAATACATGTAACTATAATTATTTGGTTATAAGGGGGAAAAATGAAGCAATATAATATAAAAAAAAAAACTCAACAGCTATGAATGCATAATGATATTATAGCTAATATTTTAATTAACAGAGATTAATGTAATTAGAACATAAAAACGGTTTTTTAGTCAAATGTAGACAATTCATTAAACTAAACGAGTGAAATGAATTTAGTATGTTGTTATTAAATTATTGTAAGGTTTATCTCCGCCGGATTTAACGTGGTTGTAATTTCACCGGGTCTTAGGTACGTTAGCTGAAGCCTGAAATACATTTACTCAAATTATCTAATGAAATGTTTAAGCTATACTTTTATACCAATTGGCAATAATTAATATGATAAAGTTCCTAATTGCTAATATTATTTATTGTTTATTTAACAATACTAGGGGAAATGCCAGAAAATGGTTAATTTAAATAATGTACGTTTCAAAAGATAAATAACAGAGTATTGTTATAAAATGTAGTACCTCCTGTGTTACATTCATATTTCCCAAAAGACTAGTACAACAAGTCAAGTTACCATGCATAAAACTGTAATTCCTTCCATAATTTCAATCAACGATTTCAGAATACCATTATAAATTTACGAAGTATATTACTATAATATGATATAACTTTCTGAGCCAATCTAAGATACCAGTCTCGTCTGAAACTGCAAAGCATTCATTTAAAACAGCTAATTTTTTGGCACAACGTTTATCTTGATCGGTTAATCTAAATAAGAGTTAATAATTATTTTTATTTCGTTTTTCACAATAGACTAACGTATCTACTATTTGAACCGGTTAACCAAAAAAAACTTTTTTTCGTTTAAGCAAAGCGATCAAAAAAGTTTGAACAAAAAAAATTCAAAGCAGGGTTCAGACCCTTTGCTTTTTTTTATTTTTAAGTAACAATGGTTATTATTGCATGTTACAACTTCATGTCATATTATACAATGTGCTCAAACTCTTCTATAATATATAAAAAACGACTCACATAATACAGAAATAAAAGTATATATGAAAAGATTACATAGAATAATTTTGCAAAAATTATTCAACAAAAACAATAGTCATTTTTTAAAATAATTAATACCTATAAAATCTTTTTTTTTTCTCAAAAATATGCCTAACGGGTATAAGAATGATATCTCGTAACGATTGATTTGTTTTATTTATTTTGATTTTTATAATAAAAAAATTACCTCCGGGTCACATTGATATCCGATTTTCAAAAGTTTTAAATATCTTTAAGTAGTAATAAAAGTTAGAATAGAACACATTTTAATTTGGCTGCAAAGCTGCATGACGTCCTCAGTAGAGTTTAATCATCAGCCGGAAACTTAATGAGTATTGGAGATTGTTTGCATATTCGCATCAGTCAACCGCGACCCTGCAACCTGAACGCTAGTGCTGTACCCTTGCTATTCCTCTCTGTTCCCGTGTACACCTAACGAACAATACATAATATATTTTAATCATTTTAATTTCCTCGGAAATAACATACATTTTCTCACATACGAATAATAAACGTCGTCATTGCCATGGAAATCCAATTGTGTTGTGTCGCTGTAACATTATGCCTGCTGCAAAGTTTTGTCTGTCCGAATCCAGGTGAGTGAAGAAAATAATATATTCATTCACTATTATATGTTATAAATATAAATATTCATTATGTTACAAAATAACCGGTCGCTACAGTTTACTTCTAAAATAAAAACACCAATTTCCTCTAATTTAAGGGTCAATTCTATTTTTCTCCGAATATTTCTTTTTAATTGACGTTTTGTATATTTTCTGCCAATTACAAATTGTTGTTTATTCAAAAAATAACAAGATTTATATACTTATAATGCTTAATACTGTTGTGTTAAAATAGTTTTATAGGCAAACATGTATTTTAAATTTTAATAACAATATTTTGTGAAAATTTACAATTTAAAGAAAAGTCCAACGTTTTAACTAAGATATTTCTTAATTATTATAACACAATGTATACTATTTGTAGTATAGTTTTCTTATAAATTCGTCTAAATTTATTTTCTTATCTTGTATTCACTAAAAAAGTATATAATATTTTATCGATTTTAGAAATGGCAAAAAGCCAATAGAAATTAGAACATATTGTTTTAGGGTCAAGCCTTAACTTATACAGACTTATACAGTGTTCGACTTCTGATATAAACGATTCGAAAGCGTAAACGGATCTGTGATCCCATTGATACACCATTGAAATTAGTATAAACTGTACTTACGTTACACCCAGCACTTACACTAGCAGTGAAAACGACAGACGTGTGACCCGAACTCTAATATTTGATACCTACGGGGACGCCGTCAGGAATAAATTCAACAAATTAAGATATTCTTATTATATCGAATTATATTATAATTTTTATCACAACGACGGTAATGTCGCTCTGGATAGTCTGGAACATAAATTATTTCATTGTGTAATTGGCGTCTTGTAAGTCGTAAAGTCAATCGTACAGCCACAACACAAATGCGTTTCAACGTGTAATTATTATTGTAAAGCGGAGTTATACTATACCTAATCGTGTGTTATATCGTCGACGGGTAAAATAATCTATGTCTAAATTATAATTTTCAATTACCTTGAGTTTGGTATAGACTCAAATTAAAAAAAACGAAAAGCATTACTGAGTACTCGAATCCTAGAGTCGTCCACCTATTGGATTACTGGATTGTTTGCTTGATTTACATTGCAGCGATGGTGTATTATATACGTAGTGAAATACAATTAGTTATAAATATATTAAACTTTCCTTAATTAGGTAATTATTTGATATAGAAATGTTTTTTGGTAGGAATAACTACAAAATCTAGTTGTCACAGGTTCAACCAAAATCATGTTAATGCAACACTTTTTTATTCTGTGTGTATTTTTTGACTGTTCGAGTCTTTTTGTTTTTAATACAATTTTTGGATATCCGAATGGTTTATTCGACCATTGCATTGGATAATATTAATTTAACCATTATTGTAAACGTTCTAAATTTAGGTCACCGCCGAACCGCAGTAACAAAATAAACCGGACGAATCAATAATACGTTATTAAAGCCGTTTATTCGGTCAGGGCGTATTCGTGTTTATAATTTCCTTTGCCTTGTGCAATAACTGACGTCAATTGGTCGTTTGACTAATGGCTTCCACTAGTTTTTGACGTTTGCCATAGCTATAAGTTGAACAAAACAAAAAACAATTAACCTGAGAGTTAAGACAATTTTTCAAATTTGTATATTCATATCTACTTAAAGCTGTAACTGGGTTTCGTCAAAAATTGCTCGGACAAGTTGAAAATTTAAACTATAAAAATAAGATTCCGGCTACCAGCATATTTTCCCATGTTCTTGTTCTTAAAAAGGCAAATGTCATCGAATCAGACCATCCCAAAACAAACTAATCTGAGTTTTACTACACGATGATCCTATGATATAAAGAAAGGCATGATTGATCTTAAATCGACACTAAATAAACTAGGCTGCCCCACTACGATAAAAAGAGACTCCACGGGTAACAAGGTCTTTTGTGAAATAAATTACTATTTGTATATTAAGTATTACAAAACCGTCGGCTATATTCGAAAAACTTGTCGTCGCCTAAATACTAAAACTTGTTAGGAAGCATAACGAATAGACATGTGTTTGGTTTTAAACATAATATTATATTATACAATTGGAGCATTAAACAAGCGTCCTGTTTGTGCGAGTGTTGGCTGTTGTAAAAAGCCGATAGTATGTATAAAACCTTTGTATTTTAATCAATACTCGAAACGAATCCCACGCGCCGCTTGTTGAAGGGGAAAAACAAATCGGAGCCTTTTTGTATTACTGACATCAGCGTTACATTTTATTATATTTTAACATTGTGAACCTACCGGCTACCGTTGTAGGTAATCAACGGGGAGACAACTACCACGCCTTACCCTATTGTGTCCGTTCAACATAATATTTGGTTTTTGGAGAAAAACATCTGGAATGGTGTTTCTATAATATATTATAATATAACCCACGTGTTTTTGAAAAGTTTCTCTATTAGACATTGGTTTTCAGATTTGCCTGTAAACTATGCCCTAGAGGACCGGTACGTCTCTTTAACCGTGACGCCGGACAATAAAGATCTGCCGGATTACACTAGAAGAGTGGCGGTGTCATGGCGAATGGCTAACGTGTCCCTCGAAGATCATATCGCCATTTTCAGTACAAACACAAAAGACAAAGACCTGGCCACCATCGCTCCAATCCGGTCGTATTCAGTGAACACCACTCTAGGATTTATACAGACGGATTTGACTTTCGAGTTTAGTATTCTAGGGAATATTTGTTACCAAGGGTGGTCCGAAACACGATGTTTTCTATACTGGGTGACATACATCAGAAACAACATGAGTTAGTTTAATTATTTCATCGTCATACATGTAGGGATCTATTTATATCCATAATATAAAGTATGGTTTGAGTTTCATGCTTTATTCAAAATGTGTGCCATATGTTTAAACGTTGACACCTAATATCTCACAAATCATTTTTTTTTTATTATAATATAGAATAAACCAGTTTTTGCATTATGACAATCAAAATTTAAAGTTTACATAAAACATCGAACTTCTATTCAATAATACATTATACAATTTTTGTTACTGAAAACCCATTATATTTTACTATTTAATTAACGTTTCCATTGACTGAGAACAATATTTACGTTTACTTTAGACCATAACAACAATTTTTACAAAACTTTGATTTTATAAGTAGGAACTAACAATCTCTTTTTTAATATGAAATTTATTCAAACAAAAAAATAGATAAAAGTATTAAAACAATTCACTTCTGTTATGAAAGATGAACAGTTAAATTCAATTTCTGATTGAAAGTATTTCACTGAAATATAAACTATTATTTTCACTCGTGTAAGAACTACGGGAAAATATATCCATCAAATAATAATAACAATTCTCCTTTTCAAAATTCTTAAATATTGCCTTTACAAAACTCCTTAAAAATGGTCGGTATTGAATCCTCTTAAATAAAAATATAAATAAATGTAAGGAGATTTTAGTTACAACATTTTTTATATTTATATTGGGGACATTATAATTATTATTATTGATTGGGTGGAAACGTTTAAGGCTTTCGCAATTTTGCTTTTCGTATGCTCTTCTATAAGTTTTATCTGTACACGCTGATATAAACCGAGTATGTGCTTGTGTTATAGCATTTGCGTCCAATTGTCTAAAAATACGACCCAACTGGATGGAAGAGTTATCAGACGCGGCAAAATCAACCAAGCTAAAAGAATTGTTTTTGCCCGGTACACACAATTCTGGCTCATACGAATTCAAACTGCAAACTTACCATTTTTCGAAAAAATATATATACACACAAGTGAGTCGATTTTGGTCTGATAGTAATTTCAATATGGACCAGTGTCCAATACGTCCAAACACGTCGAATTTGGTACTATATTGTATCTAGTTTGAATCTCACGCACTGCAAAACGAAAGTAGCCCGTTTCAACCATATAAAGCACAAGCTTTGCTTAAACACATTTTAGATCATACACAAAATGGGTTGGCAATAACTTAGTTGGCAAGTACAAGATTTGGGAATTTAATTTTTATCACATCTATTATTTAAAGACCATGCAAAAAGGAGAAGTCGTAGTGTCAGGAAAACCAGGGACATACATTCAAACCCTTCATAACTCCATCAGTATCCAAAGAAAACGTTAGCAATAAACCTAGCCTATTTCTTGCGAGATTTTTTTCATTTAAATTCTGTGGGATTTTTTAGGGTTTTGGGACATTTTAACTTCCATGCCCCACCCCACCTGTACATATAGGACTAATAATAAGTGGTAAGGCACACAGTAACAAAAATACTAATCACTTTAAAAAAAACTCTGTTTTGGAAATGTATTAAATGAAAATTATTGTACAGTTTTTAAACACTTTAAGGGTGTCATAGGTAAATACATTTGTTTTAAAAAAATACATATTATGTAAATATTAAAAAAAAACATACAAGTTGTGCATCAAATAATTTGATTAAATTTCAAAAATAGGACGTTGACATAATGGGACAACTTTGTTTGGGAGCCAGATACTTCGATCTAAGGGTCGGCTACCACAACACCACAAAAGAGCCGTGGTGGGTAGCCCACAACGTGGTTTCCATAAGGGCACTATCCAAAGTGTTAGATGATTTGACGGCCTTCTTAGACGCCACGAGAGAGATCGTCATCCTGGACTTCTATAAGTTCCCAACGGGTCTGGTTAACAAGAAAATTGCGGTTTTACATACCTATAATGATGTTATAGGACTTTTATACAAATAAGCGTTATGCTTGCTTCAGGTTTCTCTAACGACGATTCGACGCACACGGAGCTGTTCAAATTTGTAAACGATCATTTCAAAAATCGTATGACCTTCCCGTCGTGGGAGAGTACGTTGAGCGATTTGCAACGTGATGGCAGCAGACTGTTAGTGACTTTCAACCACGTGCCTAAAACGATTTCACAAGAAGACTACCTCTGGAAATCGGCACCCCGATACTGGCCCAACGCTCATTATTTGGAAGAATTTGTAAAAAATGTAAAGTCGTACATCAAACAAAAGTGAGTAAATGCAACCAGGCAAGAGTATTTTTCTAAAGGTGCCAACTTTGGACAAACGTATTTTTTCTGGCTGTATAAAGTTTGTATTGACTATAACTACTATGTTATACTAACATACTGATGGCAATTTTTTATTACTAGTTGATTTGTTTTATCCGGTTATCACATCCCCCTGTAGATAAAGTTCATCTGAAAAAAAAATAGCCCTTATACAGCTTTACCGAAAATTCATATAGAAATAGTTTATTAGCTTTTTAAGGAAATACGAACTTGAAATGTGTCTAGCCGAAGATATTTTTTCAATAATTTATAAATGAAAACAACAATTTATGAGAATGGAATAAAAACCTTTTTTTTTGTCAAAATTAAAATGTGTTTGTGCTAAAAATGTAAAAACTGTATTCAGAATGATAACCCTTAAATTTACACCGTAAAAATGCATGTTTGGCGCAATCTTATGTACTTCATAGTAAATATTTGGGTATATCATGATCTTACATTTAGGTAAACGAAATCAAAACAAAACGTTGTTTAATTATTACATTAACCAAACATTTCCGGTTTTATTCTTAAAAGAAATTATTTTCAATTGGTTGCCTGCTATATATTTTATTTTATTGTTTAACCAGACAACACAAAACCCAAGCTGTGTTGATGGGTGAGATGACGCCGAGAAGTGGAGAAGTCTTCTTGAACTTAAACGGCGGACTGCGAAAAATGAGCTCAACGGTTAACACCGAAATCAACACGTGGTTTGGTCAAAAAGAATTCATTGATAAGTGTAACATCGTGGCCGTGGACTTTATACAGAGTACCGATATTGTGGACGCTGCAGTCTATTGGAACTCTAAAAAGAAAACATAATAGTTATGACTAATATCTTCAGAGGCGTATTTTTTTTTGTGAGAGGATAAGATTGATCCCACCGCCCCTGTGATCTATAAAATGTCTCGTCACGGTTGACTTGCCGGCTGACGGATAACCGCAAAATTATTGTTTGTTTTTTTTAATACTTTTATATTATAGTTTAACAGTTATACGAAAGCACAACTTCGCTTTTTTATTTAAAAAACTATGTACATATTGTCTGTTGATAAAAATAAATTACATTTAAGTTTAATGGCTTGTACTATTTCAAATATTTCTTATTGTTATTTTAGGTTTTAAAGAATACCTAAGAATTAAATCGAATGAAGATAAAATGTAAACAATAAATTCTATACTTTGTCAAAAACTAATTTTATGATAAAATTATTTTATAGAATTGCTATGTATAATTTAAGGTATGCTATAGTCGATACTCTATAACCTAATCCAGAGGAAATACACTTTTCTCAATCTTTTTTTATACTTGTCCACGTAGATTTCAGTAATTCGAAATGATCTTCAATCGATATGAACTTTAGTAGTCCGCCTAAATAAAAACGCATTGAAAAAATCTAAATAATAGATTTTGGATAGTAATAATTAAAAAGAAAAAATAACACTTTTTTTAAACTGTTAACTATCAGTAACTAGTTAAAATATGGAATTCTGAAATAACATCTATTCATTGTTACATGATCCTAATTAAAAATATAATAATAATAAGTACCTAATAGACAAGTTGTTTTCATTCTATTAGAAGAGAAGTGAGAACATAAAATTACACAAGACATCCGTGCTGTTAAATTGTCTAACCGCAACCCCGTATTCAGTAATATTCTATAAGTTATAATAATAAAAGTAAATTCAATATTAATCAAGTATTATTAATTAAACTTTTGGAGAATGTAAATCTTAAGCATTAAGTAGATTATAGTATAGCTATTACTTTAATAGTGTAACCAATTCAATCAAATACACTCAATGAAAATACAATTTACATTTCTTTACATTTTTTTTTTAATTTCAATTAATTATTATGTAAATATAAAACTATATTTTCTGTTCTACTGCAACAGATTAAAATACATCAGAAAAGACATTTCTCTTGAATGATCATTTCTAGTTGTGAATAAATTATTATAAGATCGATGGTATACGAAAATAATACTGAACGTTTGTTATGTTTGATTTTAAATCAAACAAAATTATTTGATCACTGTTTATTTATTGATATATAAATTTGAATATTTGACCTTACATAGTCGTTATGACAGACATTAAAAAGAGATATAGATAAAGAGAAAGAGTGGATAGATGAAAAAACGTTTTCAGAAATTCATGATTTGAAAACTAAATAAAACGTATTGATACATATTATGTAATTAATTCTACGAATAAAATAAATAGTTCAAAAACATTGATTATATTTTTTATTCGTTTATATTTTTTAACGCTATATTAATACAATATATTTTCCATCGCCGGCCGAGTCTTCATTGTTATATATTGTTCAACGTATTAACAAAATCGCACAATCGTAGTATTTGATACACCATATTTTACGTCAGGTTGTTAAAAAGTTCATTAAACGGCAAAGATAATTAATACATGAATATAGTTTCAGTGTATGCAATTTAATTTCTATGTCACCTCTGGTCATCGTCAAATAATCCAATCAGCAATCGACGCGTGAAATGGCCAGGGCCGTTAAACGGTGCCGAACGGGTAGTTTTCATTAAGCCTTTGACTCGCCATGGACGCGGACGCAGCGATTTCCAACGACCACCGGCTCCCTCCTCCGCGGTCTGTAGCTCACAGAATGATGGACTTGTGGAACCGTTTGGTCACCTACATGTTCCAATACCAGGACGGCACGTGTCTGGCGGCTTTGCGCATTGCCTTCGGTAAGTACGACTGTCGTATATTATGTGAATCGTGATATTACAAAGACTCGTGAAATAATTGTCCAATGAAACCATGGTCAAGTGTAGCAGATCCAAGGGGTGAAACCGAATTCGTGAGATTTTGAACTAAAGCTAAATGTATAATCATGATAATGTTTTGGGGTTTGTTAAATAAATGAGTTAACGCTTAAATAAATATACTAATTCGAGTTAAAAAAAATCGAGTAAAGTATATAAAATAAACTAAAGCAAAAAATCAAGTTAACGGATAAATAAATCGAGTAAATGATTAAGTAAAGACCCTATAAAAGTTGTAGCTTAGTATAAAAAATGTCTCAAGACTTTTCCTGGTTGGCCGCCAGCCTAAGAACATTTTCATGTTGAAAGTGATCAAATGCAAATGTGAAAAACATTTTTTAAACATTTCACAGTACAACCGAAGATAAAATGGATTTTTATTCTATTCAAATTTATCGATTCCGTGTAAATATAACGATCGAGCTATACGATTAATACCAAGTATATTTAGTTTTACTTTTTAATATTATATTCCATCGACATCGTTATCGGTTGTTTTTTTTTTTATACTTTTTATCCGATCTTCTCCATTTTAAGTTATAATAGCGGTTAAGGTTTTGTTCAAAAACCATGGTTAGCGGTTACATATTCGAAAAATCTTAACACTGTAATTGATCAATAGCGTTTTTGTAAAGGTTTCTTGATGTTAATCGACACGGTCGACGAACGAGGGTTTTGCCAGGTGGACAGACGATGGATGGAACCGAACATGTGCTACTTTCCGCTTTTCGACTTTGTCCGGCCACTGCCCGGCCGCTGGATGTGCGTGGCCTACGCTTCAATGTTCGCCGGTAAGACTGTCAACATTACAACATTTACATCTGTGGGCTGTCGATAACATTTTATAATATTTTCTAAAACCCCTCCCCGTCGTGATTTTTACTTTTTTGATATTAAAATTATACTATATAACAGCTTGCCATTAGTTGTATACTCATCGACTTGAACCACAATTTGAAAATATTAGTACACTAGTCATATAAGAACAAAACCTATTTTTAAAACCTCGGATTATCCTAAAACCATTTGCAGTATACTTTTATATAAGTGTAATTATACCTTAACTTATTTATAAATTTAAGTACTAAAATAACTAGGATGTCTATTCATTAAAATTGTATTATTCTTCAAACTTGACTTTTTTTGGGAAAACATAGTTTTTTCAAATTAATTTAAAAATAAATTATTTAAATATTTCGTTTAGACCAAAAAAAATTTGTTTGCAAATACATTTCACATTTATAACTACAATTAACCATTGTCGACGATTTTATTTTTAATCGGTTATTACGAGTATTATAATTTCAAGTTTTTTCAATTTAGTTTATTGTTTTAGTATTAAAACTGTGGTTCCGTCAAGTGTCAACCCGTGACGTAACTCGTCGTATTTTTTCTCTTGATTGTTTTAACTAAATAGTGGCGTAAGAAATGTATGTACTTTACAAACAAAAAAAAAACGGTGACGATATTTTCTTACAGGCATTCTGGGCGTTTTGACCGGATTCCACTATCGCACCAGTTGCGTCGCGTATGCCGTTCCATATTGGTACATACTGTTGGCTGACAAGAGCGCCTGGAATAACCATTCCTATTTGTTCGGCCTGCTCACCCTCATATTCTCAGTCACCGACGCCCATCATAACTGGTCCACGGACAAGTGGCTGCAGAGGTTACCGGCGGGCGCGACCGGTGTGGTGCCACGTTGGAACTACTTGCTACTGAGGATTCAGTTTTTTATCATGTACTTCGTGGCCGGTCTGAAAAAGCTGGAACCGGACTGGCTTTCGGGATACTCGATGAAGTCTCTGGGGTACCACAAGGTCTTCGCCCCTTTCAGGTATAATATAAAAATACTTGACATTTCCTAAAAACATTTCGCCGTAGTCGTTCACAAATACACACGTCTCAGGTACGTTCTGCCAGCCGAGTTCGTAGACTGGTGGATAGTGCACGTCACCGGATTCCTCATCGACCTGTTGTCCGGGTTTGGCCTGTGCTTCCAGCGGTCCAGGCCGTTTACCGTGGTTGTGCTGCTCGCCTTTCACACTATGAACTCCATGATGTTCGCCATCGGTAATACTGCGATATGGATGTTTAATATAGGCGTTTCGTACTCACTACAAAAGGGGGGGGGGAGTTTTAATATGCACAAACAGAAGGACTCAAGTGAGTCTGCCTAGTCAGAAGAAAAAAATATCGTTTAATACATCGCGGTGGTGATAATGATAACGGTATATTGAAGAAAAAACAACAATAATATTGATAAGGGGTAAAAACTTATTTCATCGTAACAGAGTAACAACCGCTCAACAATCACGAAGCTTTTGTGTGGTCATACTGGTTTTAGTCCTTCTGTTTACTTCACTATGGCACACAAGCTAATACATCTCTATGCACTACACCTAACAACTCCTGTCGGCAGGCATGTTCCCGTACGTTTGTGCCGCCATGCTCCCGGTGTTCTACGACCCCAACTCGATGGCCGAAAAACTGTCTGCTTTGGTTACCAGGAAAAAATTCCAGCCCATCAGCGTTCAAACGACCAAACCACCGTCGCCTGTCAAACGCAATATGATAGCAGCGGCCGTTTGCGTTTATGCCGCACTGCAGATGTTCTTGCCGTACTCGCATTTCATAACACAAGTAATAACCTCTTACATAGAACAGTAAATTGGTCTATACTCATAACGACTGATTGACATAAATATTAATTTAAATTGAACTGATCGAATTATAATGAAAAAAAGCCAAAAACTCCTTATATTTCGCTATATATCGTTGGAATTATCTCATTTTTAACAGTTGTTCTTAGGTAATTATTGTTTTAAATAATATAATTAAACATGGTTTGATGTAAACGAGCTACACTCGTGTGTTAATTATTTTAGAAAATACCTGAAATTGTGCTTTAAATTGATTATTATATAAAAATTATAAAATACTATTATAAATGTTTGCACTTTGCATTTAATTATTGGTATATTTGATCCGGAAACGCTTTGGAAAAATAATTTGGTTATAATTACCATTAGGTATGTATACTTATGCACACTTTGTCATAGTATTTTTTACATGAATATGTTTTATGGCCGTGGTCAATTGACAATTTGAGTAACTTTTTAATAACATCGAAAGGTATAAAGACAAACAGTTTTATATTAATAATTAATTTACTTGTTTACTTGATAATTTACTCGTTTTAATTTATTTATTTACTTATTTTGTTACTTGATTTGTTAACTCGTAATTGGTATAATCGGTTTCTTCAACAATAAGTTCGAACCATATAAGCCACTTTAATATTTGAGAATTTTAAGGTTTGATAATTCTTTATTGATAGTTGTGTGTGTGTACAATGTCAACATATTTGCTTTTGGGTCTGTGCAGGGTTACAACGGATGGCGGAACGGTCTGTACGGATACTCATGGGACATGATGGTGTACAATGTGGACGTTGTCAAAATCCAGGTTAAGGTGGTCGATCACGGTCGCCGCGAACAGTTCTTCTTGGACCCGTACGTAAGTAAGAAGCAACAAGTAACCTGAACCGTCCTCTTCATTACTCATTTAGTACACATTAAAACAGAGTATACCATATATACTGTTGTGGTGGTTATACTTATAGGCGTGGACGGTAAACAGCAAGTGGATCCTACACGGTGACATGATCAAGCAGTTCGCCGGGTGCGCCACATCCAACATGCCAGACAGGACCAACGTGACGATTTACATGGATATTTGGGCATCGCTCAACGGCCGGTTTTACCAACGATTGGTCGATCCACAAGTGGACTTGATAAGCGCCCCTTGGTCGGTCTGGTCCCAAGTCGACTGGCTGATGCCGGTTGTAAGGCACCTGGACCGATGGCGTCCTTGGATAGTCTTTGCCCAGGACCAGGCCGAGTATGACCTCATGTTTTTCGCAGACTTTCCGGGTAATTTTCAGCATGATCCACAACCGACGAACATACTTATATTATAACGCAAATGAAAAAAAATGAAAAATAGGAAGGAATAGGGTAAGAAAAATAGCCTCAATTTGAAGCTGTTTCCTCCAACCGACTCTCCTCTGGATCATCGCGTATCGTGACCCGTCCGCTTTTCATCTCCTCCGATTCGGAAAGGCTTAGGGTAGTTTATCTTGAATCATCTGAATCATTCTTACTTAAAAAAATGTATATAATTATTTATATCAGCCAAATATTATTATTAAAAATACATTTATTAATACTGTTTATTAGAGTAAAATTATGCTTTTATTGTTCTTGCAATTAGAGCTATTTTGTGTACTTGAAATATCTTGAATTATTTTATAACTCATACTGATTTTATTTAAGTGCGGATTTGACGGACTATTCCGTTTTTCGGACTGTCTAGTTAGGTTGGCCCTAACCTATCTGATAAGGATTCAAACATTATTTAAAAAATAATTAAACAGAAATCCAATCTTTAAAAATACTAACAGTTTTAGTTAATGAATTAAAAAAAAAAATTGTCAATACAATATAAGTACAAAATCATTATGAACGTTATCGAAATATTTATTATATAATAAAATAAATACCAATTATTATAATCTTAATTTGTGGCAGTAGACAAAGTTATTTTATTGTAATTTCTTTTCTTTTTTTTGTTTCCTTAACAGGTCTGAAGGCTAACGTTTACTTTGACGGTGACACCAACGTCACACTGTCGGTAATCGAAGGAGTAGTCAATGTGACCGGCGTGAACGTCGTGGCGAGCCCTGCAGAGGTACAGTTGTTGTCCGGCGACGCAGTCAACGTGACCGGCGAACATACGGTCACAGCGCTGGGCGCTACGCCTTCCTGTTACGTTTACATAAAAAACAACGCTGGGCAGGTTGTGGAAGACCTGGAACCGGAAACGGCTGACCGGAAGTCCGCAAGACCGCAATGTTCCAAAGCCTGTTACGGATTTGCCTACGAGCTCATCGCACATACGGCTAAAGCTTGGTTTTTCGTCTAAGCTTGAAATTCATCAATAATAATTAATGTAACAATCCGACAAGAGCGCGTGCGCAACACGTATATGTATTTATACAATTATTGTATTATTAGAGACAAATTAAGCAACAAAAACATGAAATAAACAACCAGATATTACATTAGTATTTAATTATTATAAGAATACTCGACACGATACATGACTTTACACACCCAATGTATCAAGGCGTTCGGTTTAAGAAGAGGCAGAGAGTATTTGAATTTGTTCTTGTAATTAAGTTACCGAGATCATTTTAAAACTGTCAACTATTTACATTATTTTATAGTGATTTGTAAATAATTTATCTTTCTTACCTCTGCAAATGCAACCTAGTCTAACAAAAACCTACCAAACTGCGCCCCAAAATAAAAAATATTCAGAAGACAGAATTTTCCAACACCTTCTAGGGGATAAGTGTTAATGTTTATATTTTCTTGATTTTTACTTTGTATTGATAGTGCTTAATCCAACAGAAAACCATAAACCAATAATTTTCATCAAATTTTTAAAACGTTATAGCGTGCTGGGTTATTTTATTTAAAACTATGTCAACTTTTAGGACGTCGCGTTGTTCTCAATTATAAAAGGAAATAAGTAAAGTTTTCTACTTAAAATGAAAACACTCTATTTTTAATGTAACACAATTCTAGTAGTTTTTGAGTGTTTGAAATAAAACAATTACTTTTGTTAATTTGAAGTTTTAAATTATATTAAAGAATTGTAAAAGGTTTGGTTAGTATTACTGAATTACTTTTAATTCATAAAAACGGCATGTGAATATGTATTCAGAGAGTAAATATAAATTTAAAATGATAGAGTTTGTGGTTAAAAATATACGAAATGTCATGCTGTTTATATTTATAAATTATAATGTATATGGTTATATTATAAAACTATGATATGACTGTTGTAGTGGAAATTAGAAAATACATGTTAAACAACTATTTAAAAAAAACTTACAACTACTCCAGTTAACCCTACTTTAATTGAATTTCACCTGATACTGTGACAACGCGACGCTTTGCAAGATATCTAACCCGGCGCATTGGGTATGCAATTCAAGTGCTTGTGAGATATAAGGCCCAGTCCCGAACGTACCAATGGCGAGCCGTATTTTCACCGCACAAGTTAGTTTATTCTTCAATACCAACTGAAACAAATAAAATCATACTTTGGCCTAGTTATAGTAAATAGCAAAGTAGTACGACAGAATTTAATAATTAACAAGAAAACCTTTTATTGCAATAACATTTCACTAAAGTATACCTTATGGATATATTTATTATTAAAATGTTTACAAGTTAAATAAAAACCATAAAAGTTAAATTATTACGTTTATTATAATGACTACGCTAAAAATGAGAATTTAAAAAAATATCTATCTCAAGAAATTATATAAATTACTCCTTTTTAATTAAACAACGGATCAGTTTTCTATATATTCTGCGGACTACGTACAACACATTGTTGCTGTGACAACATTTTAATATAAGTTGCAACTTACAACATTTTTCATTGTGTTGTAAAATATCAACGCAAGTGACCCCGATCCCATTTTTGATAAGACACTTACAATGAAAATATGACACGCTTTTTGTTTAAAAATCAAAAACCTCCGTCTCCTGAACGCTCTAAACACAAGAAAATCCCCCAGACCATAAGTAATCCGGATTTTTCGATATGGATATTTGGGTTGTTGGTTTATGAGAAATGTTAAATATTGATAAATGTTGCCAGTAAATCGATTAAGGCCAGATATTATAAAACTTCCAAAAAAAATGTTTGGCCAGGACATACAATTAAGACTATACTATCATCATTATATCGCAAGTAGATTATAATGTATTAATACATTAAATTCATGTATTGATGTATCTGCATGAAGTGTGGATACTCTTAACTGAGTTTATTCAGTTTCAATTGGTCGGTCGGACTTCCTTTTTTTTTTATTGGCGCCCTAAACTAATTTTTTTATATAAATTAAAGTTTATAAATAGTCAACAGAAAAGTAACTTGTTATTTAGGCAACTTTTGTACATAAAATTTTAACTAAAATTATGTCAAAAAAAAAATAAAATACCCTAAGCTATGCATTGAAGCTTACATAATTATTTATTAATTAGTATACAATAATTATAGTATGCATCGTACACTTCATAAAATAAAGAAAATATAATATAATTAAGCATATTGCTTGTATTGAGCCAAAATTTAATTTCAACAACACTGTTACACAATTAAAGTAAGTACTTTGTCTTAACAAATTTATAGCTATAATAACAATATAACATGTGTTAATAATACTGAGGAATTTAAAAAAAATACATTGATAATAAAAATAATTATTTTTTCTAAAATATATTTTTTTATAATGTTAGTAATACTTTTCTATTATTCAACAATAAAAATATCAGAAATTTGAATACGTTAAAAAAAATTCACTTATTTTTAATTAAGTCTTTGTCAAAAACAGTACCAATAATGCCTTATTTCAATATGCTTTTTCAAACACGGAGATTACTCAGCCTTGGCACCAAATACTATAATTGGTTGCGGCAAAATTTCCATCACTTCGTTCTCGCTAATAGTTTGCAAATCCAAAACGACCGACACACAGTTTAACTGGAGAGAAAAATTTAGTTGTTATAGTACATATTAAAAAATAACAATGGCCAAATAATATTATGCGATAAACTCACTTGTCTTTTGGATTTCCTCTTAGAACCAGGACAACCTTTACTCGACCTCCACGGTAATTCTCTGCAACCACAATTGTTTTGTAAATGATCAAGAACTTTTTCTACATTATAAATGTCAGACAACAAGTTTTCGATAGCGCTGTGACTGTTTTTATGATTTTTCTCTTCTTCCAATTGCTAAGAGTTTAAAAACAAAAATTTATAAAGTATAGAATGACGACGTTTCAAAACCACGAAACACAACATTTATTCACAAATAAAATAGTTTTACCTTAAATGCTTCTCTTTGAGCATTTCTTAGATTAAGAACCGTACGATTGTACAATCTACCGTAAGAAAGGCCAGTTTTTATTAAACCTAAAACATTTTTTTTTTTTATATTTATTGTACTATATATTATATATGTCTGTAGTATAGTTACAGATATTTTTTTGATTTTCCAATTTTTCAAGTCGATTTTCAAGGCATCGCAATTCGAGCACATTTTCACTCGTACCTTGAAGTTTGCCAGCTTCTAATTCTTCATCGTTGTTTTTCCTAAGATTGTTTATCTGACTTTGAATACTTATAAAAAAAAAATTAAAAAAATATCATATCACGTGATATTATCACAACACACATTATAGATTAAATAAAATAAAAACCTTTTAATTGTCGCTAATAATTTCATTAACTCTAAAGTGTTCTGCAACAACACACAATCGTTGTCTGGTAATAAACCAGACTTTAAAATCTTTTCTACATAATTTTTTATCGACTTCTTTCTATTTGATTTTAAATGAGTTCTCGGAGCATATTGTACGGTTCTTTCCATTGTTCTCATTTCGTCAATCTGTGAATTTGCCATTTCCTAGAACATTTAAAAATACCAATTGTATTTATAAAACAATACTATAACGACAATAAAGAATTCATTTTTTTTTCAGTAAATTAAATATATTAAAACTCACGTTTTCGGTTAAATTAACTGAACTTTCTTGAAAAAGGTGTTGGGGAAATTGTTTGTTTTCTTTATTTTCTTGTGAATTTTCCTTTTACAATAAAAAATAAAAGTAATAGTATGAATATATGTAATGATTTATAAGTATATTTCTAAAGTATAATTTACCAACAATGACAATACCTTATCAACTAGAACATTGTTTTCAGTCAACTGAGTGTATAGTTTTTCGTCAGACAACTTGTAAGCTGCCAACTGACAGCTACTGGACCTCTTCAAAGCCGAACCGCTCGTTGGTTCTTTTGCATTAATGGCTTCACGGGTGCCCGTTTTGCACAGCAATCCATCATCGCTCATCGACCTGCTACCAGCATCATAACAAAATGCCGTTCAGCTCCTAAGATTTCAACTGGGTTTTTTTTAAATACATAAAGGTACTCGAAAAAAATTCATCAAACAACCCCGTTTGATGACTAACAAATTTGAGAGACAAAATAATAAATTTAAAAAAAAACAATTTTTCAAAAGTTCACTTACCAAAATATTTTTTTGTTACATTTTATGTTCTTTACGGCCAACGATTTTAACGACATCCAGTTCTTTTTGGAAGTGCTTGTAGTCAACATTTTATTATGGTTTGTCTTATTTTGAATTTTTTTCATATCAGATTCCCTAAACAAATGCATTTAACAATAATTATAGACAAGGCTGTATTGACAAGGTTGAAGATCAATAAAAAAAAAAAAATTAATCGACAATTTTTAAAAGTTAAAATAAAATACCACAAGTTATGCATGCTGAGAAAACTAAAAAACAGTTGTATATAAAATTACAAAAATAACTAATGGTTAAAAATAAAAAGAGTTGAAATAGTTTTTTTTATTTAAATATAACATTTATTATTACTTTTTTTAATCACATAATTAAATCTATCAACTTTTATTTCAGTTGGTATCAATGAGAGAGCTGTATTACAGTGTAGGGTTGTTATTCGATTCAACGTACAATTTTTAAAAAATAAACAATGAATTTTAAATTTTCAAAATAACACAGAACTTACTTTAGTATTGTCTTTAAATTGCTCATGAATTTCGCAGCGTTTTCTTTACAGCCAATTTGAATGTTTTTAGTGAATAGCAATTGAAATAGACACTGCAACTTTCCTTTGTACGATTTGTGTTGTTTTTCGTAAGACTCTACAACACGCATTACTTGTCGAAGAGTTTGTTCACTCGTGTTACCCATTGGCTTAATAATATCAGCACAGTTATCAACACTGTGCATATCTATTAAAACAAAATACACAATTAGCAATAATTACTTAAGGCGTGAATGCAAAGGTTATCATTTAGAAGACCAATACTTAAATAAAAATAAAAAAAATTCCATTTTTTTTTTTTACAAGAAAAAAAGATTTCTAATCCTATCATAGACAAACAAAAACACAATATGTAAAAAGTGTTAATCTTGTTTATGTAATATACTACCTATAATATGGAACACATTTGAATGATGTGCGATTTTATTAGGTGAAAAAAAACATTACATTATCATTGAACATTATTCTTAAGAATGTGTTAGAAAGTCAAATAATTAAATATACTGTCTACCTATCTAATTTTATAAACACTTTAAATTAACATAAAATATAAATATAAATTGTACAACTATAAAAAAATTATAATGTTCTCTCCTTTTTAAAAAAAAAAGTTGTGGAATTTGAATTTTTAACACTTACCAAAAATATTTAATAATAAATTAAAATAAAACTAAAAACAGTAAAAAAAAAAAATTTACTTTATTTGTAAAATTGTCCCAAAGCAATAATTATGTTGTTACTGCATAACCAATTAATTAAAATGTTGTAACACAAATATGTACACACAATACATAATATAATATACATATATGTATTGTTATAGTTCAATTTATTTCCTGATAAAATATAAATAATCCAATACTAAACGAAAATAATTTGTATAGAAATACTAGAAATCAGTATTACCGCAAATCATTAAATATTGTTTTGATGATATCAACGGATCTGGTAAGTAATAAAGCCATACAGCCAACATCGTAGCCACGTCTGCTGCTTCGACTTCAACTATCTTCTTATCATTTTGATCCAACGCATTGAACAACTCGTATGCATTTACAATATTCTTTTTAAGTTCTCTGTTTGTGTAAACGGCATCAAATAAATGTTTATTGCACAAACCTAAAACAAAACAATAACTATGAAAAATTATTCACACATTGTTATGTTATTTTAAATAAAAGTTTTACATACCATAATTTGTTATAAAATCACACATCTTCTGTACAATCACTGGAATCCCATTGTTATTTAACGGCATGTTGTTTAGCGGTGTACCTATTAAGGTCAATTTTCCAACGACTTTTTCTTCAAAAAGTATCTCGATTTTTCTTGCCACCTATTGAAATAATAATAACTATATATTTAAATTGGGAAGATGCATAAAAATGTAACATAAGTGATTTATTGATACAGTGTTAATTAAATAAAAATAAGTTTTAAGCAAACAGCATTACTAAGTATTATTATGGGCTAAATTTTTTAATTATTAAAGTGAATGGCAAGTACCTTCAACTGACATTTTAAAACTTTATTTTTTTTAGTTTTTAAAAATATTAAATACAATTGTATTATATTTAAAACAATCTCACACACTCAAGATGCATATTTATTTATGCAGTTTGTATAGACATTTTTTGTTTATTGGCTATTAGTAAAAAATAATAATCAAGTGATACAACATATAATTCTGCAGATGCTGTAAGCAATTAATTAGGCCTATTTCACACCTGTGCGTAGAGTATGTGTCTTTTTTACTCGTCCAGTGATGGGGCTTAACTTTAGTTCAAGTTGCAGTAATGAAATTTCTTTTTATATATTTTAATCATAATTAAATAACATTTGATTGAGAACAAATAATGTACACCTAATTCAAGTTACTTTATTGTAGTATTTTTTCAAATTACTTGTTTCTTTTTTTTTAATTTAAAAGAATGATTACACATATGACCAATAAATTTTAAGAAATTTGGCACAATTTGTAAATAAATTTGTAAACTGGATTTTTTCCTGGCCTAGACAATAGTAATGTAAAGAACATCAACTCTAGTGATAGATTTCAACAGAAAAATTAACTCTGATTGTAACAAAGTTATATTTTGTTATTTATTCATAAGGTTCTTAGGTCAGCTGCTCATAGGACCCAAATTCATACACGTTGTACCATTAATGTAAGGCGTGAAACAGGCCTTACATTGGTAACTATAATATGATATCATACCTGCTCACAGGTAGTTTGAGCACTTGTGCAAACAGTCAGCCTCATTGTCAACTTTATCAAACTCAAATGTATCCTAAAAACATAAAGCTTTTTATCAAACAAACATAACATATGCTTATTTTTGTAATTCAATTAACTTACCACGGCCTTAAACTCAGCAGTCCAACGATAATATAATTTTTTCTATGCCAACACTCGATTTAGATTTTCATATCCCAATCTCGGCACATTTTGTAAATTTATGGTTGCTTTAAGAAATGAGTAGTTACTAACCGCAATTTTAACATAAAGTAGCGATCAAATTATTCTTCATGGTTTAAGATATGCTGCCTGCAAAATAAAAATGTCAAATAATTATTACAGACATACAGTCGATAATTTGAGGTAGGAGATGACAAGTTGTTTTGTTTTTAGACACACATATAAGCCCCTACTCACTCGAGCAGTAACAATACACATTTTTTTTTTATGTTGGTGAACGACAATGGTTTTCTAGTATCGGCGCAAATAGGAAAAATTGTGCATAGCTTTATTAAGGTTCATATTTCATGATACTCCATAATATGTTATCCGATCTTTAATTGATTTTTTATCTACAGCTATTTTATATTTTATCCTAACCCAACTATTAACTAATAATCAACTTAATTGTATAAAAATAAAATTACCTATGATAACCAGCAACGGTTGAATTAAATAAAAACCATACTATAAGTAAAACCATAATAAAACATAGTAAAACAAATTCCAGGAAAATAAGTCCATTTAGGCACTGATAAAAATGTCATTATTTGTGTACTTTTTATTTTATCATTATAACACATATTTTTACGCAAAAAACTAAATTTTCCATTTTTTGAGATTATGTCACACTCTTTTAAATATAATAATTAATATATAAAAACGTAGACATTGAGTGTTAAAAGTGCTAATTGGTAATTTATTTAATTGACTGTTTAGACGATTATTATTTGTATTAACAATACATCTACCTACACAGTACACATCATTTAAAGAGGTGCATATAAGTTGGTATTTAGAACTAGTCTAAAAAAATCTATAATTATCAAACTTGCAGGTAGTTGCATACAAGTATTTTAGTATAATATAAACTAATATTTCTTAATATCATACTAGTGTTAGGTATGTCGTTAGAACATAGATACGGCCAATTATTAACAAACGATTAGCTTGTACAATATTTTAATGGTATATAACACGATAAATATTTCATAGATACATAACCACTGCATAAAATACTGGAATAGTTCAACTGAAATTAGTTGAAACAAACCATTAAGTATTAAAAATAGGGCTTCGATTATCTAGTACAGGTATTAGCTTATATAGCTTAGTGTATTGGTATTTGGTCCGATAGGTCATTATCAAAAGATTTAGTGATAGAGCAGTTGCGTAATCTACTTTGGAGGATGGTATGGGAATGTAAGTAATAAATTATACGGCTAGTATAAAACTATAACACACAGACATTGCATTTTTGCAAAACGATAATAAAAAAATGTCAATCTGAGTATTAATTACCAAAATATTACAACACCGATTGATAAAAAATTAAAATAGTTTAATCCACAACTGTCTATACACTGTTCAAAATAAGAAGCAAGTATAGAACGTTCACACATGTTCTCTCCGAGCTTATAACAAAAATTAATATAGTAAAATTTAAGGGAGTTTTTGCAAAAAGTTAAACTGCGTACGATAATGCTAACGTTATCCGTTAACCGATACCTACATTACGTAATGCAAGAACTCCCCATGTTGTCTATAACGTAAAGGTGAAATTGCAATAATGTAAGTTTTGGCAATGCAATCTAACTGTTGTAATAATAATTATTTACCTTTATACAATGAAGTAATACAAGACCCGGTAGTCGACTGTATCGACTAACCCTCGGCCGTGTAAAACGAAAGATGTTATAGATATGTAATATTATAAGATGTAGATATTAGTTTACACGATTGGATTCACTCAAAACAAAATATTATGATAAAAATAAAAAAATAATGTCTAAAAATATTATGAATTACAATATAACTTATAACATGTCACAACAGGTACTATGGGCCGGCATTCGCGCGATAAACGCTAAGAACCGTATGCTATGCAGTTACAATAGTAAGCCGTCGTAGTAACTTATTCAGCAAAATGATAGTGAATGAGAGTCGAGACATGAGTGCGTTTGTGTTGTCCGTCCGGACCGCCGACCGACAGGCACTACCCCTACCCTTGTCCACCACACCCCTTGCCAGCGGTATCATATGTTCGGAATGGAAGTGTAGGTGAAGAATGAAGGTCGGACATGCGTACCAACTTTGTGCGCAATTCGACGCCGGTATTTTATCGATACCCGTCGCACGTTAATAATATTGTGATGCTGTTTTTTATATTATACAGTAGTCAGTATATATATTTTTTTTTTTGGATAGTAGGTACCTACCTAAAGAAAAATCTATACCCGTCTAGACTATTGTAAACATTATTTAAGCACCTCAAATTAAGCAAAATAGTAATTCGCCTCTCCCCACGCTTGTTTGACTTCAGTATATTTCGGTTCCTTTCCTCCACTCGAAGTAAACCGGTTTACCGAAAGGGGCTATAAATTATTACAATAATATTATAGTCTAGTGACTATTCGTTGTTTACGAGTAAAACTATAAAAAAAAAAAACAATAATACCTATAAGCATAGAGTAGATTATACGCTGTTAGCTGTTCAGTCAACAGTATATAATATTAATAATAACTAGAGAGACTCTGCCACTAGTATAGAACATTCATACGATATTTCATCACGATGACTATTAAAATAATACAATACACTCGTGACTCGATGCTAAACAAATAAAAAGAATGTTGTTCAAAATGTATACAACAGTTTCATAAAAATAAGGCACTTGGCTCTTGGGTAAAAAAATGAGAAACTTTTAACAAATGTTTAGGTTGAACGCCACTGACACTGTAGCCAACTAAATGCACTTTAGTTTCTTTCTGTAGTAATGAAATCCATTTATAAATTGTAAACAAAATATTGTATAAAATAAGTAAATGGAAAAAAACAAATTAGAGAATCGTATTTATACTCTTAAACTTTTGTCTACGAAATAGGTTGAACTTTTATAATGTTTTACAAAATCGGAAAAGTTCAAAACGGTTTTGAAAACGATAATCAAAAACTAAAAACTCACTTATTATTAAAAACGTAAAATATTAATTGTACTGTAATAATATTTTTTGGTAATCGCTTAGGGCAATTAAAAAATAATAAAAATTACAATTATTAATAAAATTTGTAATTCCTGATTTAAATACAATGAAGTGGCCTGGACATTGGAATTTTCCACATGGCCTGGATTGTCAATGGTCTTAACAGATTTTCTTCTCATTAATCTTTAATAAATAATGTGTTCTATTATCACTGAAATAATGGAAAAAAATTATAGTTACTCCTTTATAATTATCAAAAAACAAAATTGTCATGTGAAGTTATACTTAAAATACATAATATCATATTATTAAAATTTAATTTTTATGGCGTACTAATATGTTAACAACTGCGTAAACAGCACTTATTTTCAGATGTTAGAATTACTCGTAATTATGCGGTTAAATCAAATATCCAATAACACTATTCAAGAATTATTTATATTGTCCCTTCCCGTTCATCAATCAATGATATTTTGCAAATAATAAATAATTCGTTTACGATTGGAAAAATTTAAAAATTACAAAAAGTATTTATTCAAAAATGACTTCAAGTAGATTTAACAAACATACGGTTTTTAAAAAATCGTGAAAATCAATTTATTTGTAAGCATTATAAACGAGTTTAACTTACTAAGTAGGTATTCCAACTTAATAAATAATATTTTTAATAGTTTTAAATTTTAATCATAGATAGGTTTTTCAAAATAATATTTTTAATGTATAATTTATAAATGTAAAGGTAGGTACATATAATACATAATATATGCTAATTTATACTTATAAATTATAACGATTAATGATGCATTTCATATAACTTGTCATTTTTTATCACACATTAAAAAAAATTGTTTTGCTTCCGTTTTTTTTTGTACCAATCTATTAATTTTGTGTGTTCAAAATAACAATAGCCTTTCCAATAACTAATAAGATTTATTTATTGCAATAATTGTTATGTATACTTTAAACCACTGTCAAACCCAGAGACGTACTTAGGAATTTTGCGCCCCAGGTAAGAAAAATAAACACCCCCTTCCCAACCTATATTTCTTCATCAATAAGTGTATTTGTAAAAAAAAACACATGATAGTGAAACCATTGCATTCTTCGCTAAACTCATAATCTGAAAGGTATATTAGGTATACATAAAAAAAACGTTTTTAAAAACATGCTTTTCTAAAAAAAAAAAAAAGTAAAAAGTGAACTAAAAAGTAAAAATAATTTTATTACAAGAACAATTTACCAATCAATTGTAGCATATTTTATTTAAAATGTCAATTACTTTGAAAACAATCGAAAATAAATTTTTGACTAAAAAGAAAAGCGTGGGCCTTATTCAACAAAGTTCAAATTTATTGAGTTAAGTATTAAGAAATGTATGTATCACACACTAATATTAAACCAAATTTAAATTACAAAAAAAACTTACAATACAAAACATTATCTGATAAATTTATTAGGGACTTTGTTGAATAGGGCACATGCTTTTCTTTTTAGTCAAAAATTAATTTTCGGTTGTTTTCAAAGTAATTGACATTTTTAATAAAATATGCTACAATTGATTAGTAAATTGTTCTTGTAATAAAATTATTTTTTTACTTTTTAATTCACTTTTAAATATTTTTTTTTTTAGAAAAGCATTAATTAAAAAAGTTTTTTTTTAAATTATTTATTTTATTTTTTTACTTTTTAGTCCTATTAAAAGTATTTAATAATTGCTGAATAGATTACTAAATAATTTTGGAAGATTTGGAAAAAATTAAATTTTAGTGAAATGACCCCCACATTTGACCCTGTGTAGGGCGACCTGGATGTCCGAGTCCCAATATGATTACAGAATATTGTATTGTCATCTAAGACGAGTGTCTGTGCCAAGTTTCAGCCCTATACGACATCGGGAAGTGGGTTAAATTAATTTTGCAAGATTTGAAAAAAAAACCGTACAAACGTACGTACGTACGTGTTAGCGAGCTAAAGAAAAGCATGTAAAAATACATTTATTGAAGTACATATTACACAATTATATTAGGTATATTTATTATTAATTATACAAAAAACCTAAATGTAATAGGTTAAATGACAACATTTAAAAAAAAATCCCTTAATATATATAATTCCCCACATGTATAAGAATATTAAAAATTTTAAAATTAAAAATATTTACGCCGAGCTTTTTCAATAAAAAACGCCATTAAAAGGCGAGCAAAAGCAGTAGAATTTACGCCGAGCGTATCAATGATATCATCATAATCTAACTTCTTTGTTAAATCTGACTCTATAGTTAAAACAGCCAAAGAATTTAGCCTTTCGTCGGTAGTACTTGATCTCAAATAGGACTTGACCATTTTTAAGACTGAAAAAGACCTCTCAGCAGAACAGTTAGATGTAGGACTAGAAACAAAAATTCGTAACGCAATTTCTACATACGGTTACAAATCTTTTTTTGTTTCTTTGTGATTACGAACATAGATAATAGGTTACGAGTACATAAACGTTACGAACTAAGATTATTATTACTAGCAGTTGGCACGACCGTTTAAACATGTCTACAAAATAATTTTGGGCGGCCATATTCTGTGTATCTTAATTCTCAAACTACAATATACTTTTCTATGTCCTGGTATTTTCAATGCATGTTTCGTGACAAATGAAAACCACAATAATACATTTATTAGTATCATTACTTTTTTTATCACCCAAATGACCTACCGTATTATACCAAAATACTCTCCAAAATTTACCGCCCCTAAAATTTTACCGCCCGGGGCCCAAGCCCCCCCCCTGCCCCCCCTAAATACGTCTCTGGTCAAACCCACTGTTCATATAACTATAACTATAATTTATAGTTCCAGTCTGAAGTCTTGTTATTACGTAATACTATTTGTTAAAAAAAAATAGCACAAGGAGTAAGTTAAGCGATTAATTAAAAATAATACACACGTCAACTACCGACTAAATAAAAAATGTAACGTATTTTAATGTGTCCAGTTATATCGATACGTCTATGCATATTAAACGAGGTTAAGACAAACCTATATTCTATATTATAATTTATAATATTCTTCTTTTAATACATCATTATAACATAGAAAGAATAATACTATAGTAACAAATTTGGCAACAAATAATAATATGTAATTAAATTATGATATATCATGTAGTCCCTTTCATAGAACTTTAAAAGCGTCTAAGTATAATATAAGGTAGTATAGTATGTAAACTGTTTAAAGCACAATACCTATTTGATACTTTTGTCGTTTATATAAGCAGTTAATTAATTTATAGGTATATTTTGCTTTGTGCGGTGTTCACTATTGGCTATCTTAATATGACTAAGCAGATATTACTTACAATACAAATGTACATAATAAACTGTTCGAAACTTAACAAGCATAATTAAGTTAACTATAAAATTAATTATTATTAGTATATTATTAAATACATAGTATTAAAAGTTTTATGGTTATTAGTTTTTACATGTTTTATATATTTTACGAGTGTTATTTTTTATAACAATTTCGACCTTGTGTTTCTTATTAAGTGTATAAGAGTATCTGAAAGTCTGAAGTCATTATTATTCGTAAACCTACCTAAAAGTAAAACTATCGACTCTTTGGCAATAATATTCTGATTCATAGATTTTTTTAATAATTCATTTAAATTGAATTATAAGACAGTTTGTATATTAGGACAGCATTAGCAACTAAATTTATGCATTGTAATTTGTAAATGACAAACATTAAATATGGCGTAGATTTTCTGTAAAAATGAAGATGTCAGTAAACAAAAACGTTTATATTGGATTTATAAACCAACAGTTGTGGTTTCTTTTACACAAATTTTACCTTAGAATTAAGTTTATATAAAATAAATCATGTAAAAACCAAATACAAACCCTTTTATCAGTACATAATACTTTAATTTTTAAATGTGGCCAATAATTGTGCGGACTTGCCACTTTACATTTTGTCTAAATCACTAATAATTTTCCTTTTTTTCAATTTGATAAAAATATTTATTATTATTAAAATTCAAAGTTAAAAAATATATAAAAAAAAAATAGAAACTGGAAAAAATTGGTAAAAATATACAAATTGAATACCTAACTAAAAAAAAAATTAGGTCGTCTTAACGAATTATCATTATTTTTAGTAATTGATAAAATATTTCCAATAACTAAACCATTTAAAATTGAAAAAAGATAAAAAATAATGGCATTGTAGAGTTATAATACATAGTTTGATTTTGTTTATTGATAAACATCAATATATGAATGAAGTTCCTGTAATAAATTTCAAAAACAAAAAAAAGAAAAATTTACTGCCCCGGGTGAGGATCGAACTCACGACCTTAAGATTATGAGACTTACGCGCTGCCTACTGCGCTACCGAGGCTGATGAATATCATGAGCTAAATAAAAACATTTAAGCCAACCGTATAGTACTTTTTTTTTTAAAAAAATTCAAAAATTACTTTTATTATACTACATACATAGATGTTTTTTAATGAAACAAAGCGGTCCATCCCCATCCCACGTCTATGCATTTAATATTTAAATGAATTATACTAGCTAGAATAGCACATTAAACGTTACCAAGTTTGTTTAAAAACTTTAGACATAATTTTATCTAAATACTGGCTTCTAATTTGATGATAAAACTCAGATGGGTCTAATACATGATTTATTTTTTATTAATAAACTAAATTACGCAGTAATTAAAAAAAAAATATTGAATAAAAAAATTAATAAAATCCCAGTTAGATTTTGTTTAATTAACTAAACTTACCTAACATATAAACACAATCTAGCTACCAATACCTAGGTGGTTTCTTAACATAAATCGTTCAAGCTAGCTTATTTATTATTTTGTCGGCAATAATTGGTTGTAAAAATATGTTAACAGCTCGTTATTTGGAGTATAAAAAATAAAATTTATCAAATTATTTTACTGGGCATACATCGGCTAACGTACGAGTGTAATAGCCAATGCCCAATAGGAACAACCGTGTTGATAAAATTATGTTTTTTTTTTATAATATTATATTATAGCATTTATAATATTGTATTATATATGTATATAGGCTGACTGCTTCTATTTTTATGTGTAGTAACTAGTACGACACATTTTTTGCTGGGCGATAATAAAAAGTATGCGCTGCGGTGCCAAATTGATGAAGGGGAAAAAATGTAAAAGTAATTATACATACACATATTTCTTTTTTTAATGTGAGGGGGAGGCTCGAATTATAAATTTATCGAATGAATTCAAATATCTGATTTTTTGATTCCTTCATATCGAACTCCCGAGTATACATGATAGGCCGGTGAAAATGTTAAGCTTGTTTCACCATAATAATATTATTACAATCAAGGAGTTGACCTCGAAATGTATTGATTAAAGCACCTACTGCACAGACAGCCTAAGTGTTATGTATAGTGTAAATGACGCATGTGTGCACGATAAACAACAACAAATTCAATAGGTAAATAAAAATATTTTTTTAAAAAAGTGAAAAAATACCTAACTGACTATGGGCATAACAATTTAATGTATCAATAAGGATGCAGCATAACAAATGTCATATGAATGCAAACAAGTCAATAGGAAGTTTTTGCATAACGTTATTATACCTATGTATGGTAACAAACGTTATTTAATAACGTTCGCTAGTTGGAAAAATATCGTTATTAAAAGCCAGTTATCGTATAATTATAAAGGTACTGTATGTTAATCAAGCTTTATGGATTTTAAACAGTTGATAGTTATTATCCAAATATCGTACAAATCAGCTGTGGGCATTGTTTAAATACATTTTTGTTGCCATAAAAATTAAAATAATTGCTTTAATTAAAAAAAACATTAAAATAAAAATCCAATTAACAAACAAAATTGTAATTTTATTTGAACGAATACAATTACGAAAAAAACATTGAAATACAAATTTAACTATTAACTCTAATACTATACATAAAAAATGAAAATAATTAACAGAACATAAGAAATGTTTTCAGCAAAATATAAAATATTAATACAATTATAAAAAAAAAACAATTCATTTTGAAAAATTGTATAGCTATTTAAAAAGTGCCAAAAATTTAAATTGTAATTTTTATTAAATGAAATTGTTGAGTTAGGTCATTACATTTATTATAGACATTATACTGTACTACTATTAGATTTCTTTTGATTTTTTTTTTGCGCGATACACGACAATCTAATATGTATCTAACCTAACCTTAAATAATAAAAACAGGTTTCTTATTCACTGTTTGAAAATTATCTTTATACGTCATATTGTGTAATTAATCATGTGCCGCAAATCATGCGCGTAAATTCTACAGGTTTTACTGTGTATATAGACAACAACCAGACTAGATTTGTACGTTTTTTATAAATCAAAATGTTAATATATTATTTAGACGTGCGTCATTAAAAAAAGCGAATAGCGCTAAAAAAGACCGTGAGCGTTTGGTTTTATTTTTTGCTTAGTTATGAGACGAGATAATATTCCGGTTTCACAGCAATTTTTTAATTTATTTGCTCCTTAGTACTGAACACATAATATCAATTTTATCATCTCATGATGGCACCGTTGGGCCTTAAAGGCCCGGTAAGCTTGATGTATGATGTAAACTATAAAGACATAATATTATGTCTAATGTATTTTTATTATAAAGACAGTTCAATTAAATCTAGTTTGTTTTTTTACGGAGTTAATAAAATCGAAATAGTCGTCTCGAAACAATCGAGAAAACTCTCTAAAAATAATTTTTTTTACCTAATTCGAATACATAAAATGTTAATGAAAAACTGTTTTTTAAATACCGAAATCGAATAGATGTATCAGCTATTATCATAGTAATTATTATTTTTGTTTACAGGGTCATTTAATAACATTATTTCTATAGATTTTTGTAAATGGTAAATGAGCTACCAGCTCTAAATGTAACGAACTCGTTTTGCGAAATTAACTCACGTCGTGACAGATTACCTGTCTACTTGATTATCTCGTATTACATTAAAAATATAATATCAATTTGCTCTTAGAATAATTACAATTTTGTATTTTTCTTCCTGGAAACATTCACTGCGTTAATAGTGCTTCGCATCCATAAATCAACCTACAATATTTTTTTATTGACATACTATTTACTAATCGACCACAATTATTATCCTCTTATATCGAAATAATTAGGTGTGAACGGACAAAAATAAAACAAATTATTTTTTAATTATATTGTAGTTACACTTGACATCATCATTGACACGCCATGACTGTTCAAAAAGGATAGTGGTTTAACGACAAAAAAAGTATGATAAATTTTATTTAAGAATTGTATTTTTATAGTATTGACAGTTATCTATTGTTAATCTATTGAAATTATTGAAAATTAAAGTTTGAACATTCGATTATACGTTTGGTTGGCGGCCAAAGTTAACTGGACCATTTGCTTTTCAGTGCTTATTTGATTGTTTTAAATTATAGCTAACGATGATAGTTGATATCGTAAAAGGGCGCAACGGCATGAAAATACAGCAAATAAAACAAACGCACATAATAAATGTATCAAAATTGCATAACCAGAGCGCCGTTTTGTGCAACAGTTTTCTGTACCTCTTTGCTTCGAGGCTAGTCGTTAGCATTAAGAGAGCAGTAGCGCAACCAAGGGAGGGGTTGTTGGTGGTGACCCCCAAATATATTTGAAAATGACTAATAGGGAACGTTACAGATTTCCTATAAAGATATAGTCTAAACTTATTATTCTATATTTTGTAAAACACCCCCCCCCCCCGCAATAAATCCTAGTTGCGCCACTGTAAGAGAGGTTTAAATGTAAAGTTTTTAGATTCTATCATTAACTGTGTACTAATAACAGGTAACTTATCGGGTTTTCTATAAAAGAAAAAAAAATGTAGATACAATCGTTCTAAAATTAAATGAAAATTTAATAATGAGGCCTGCGAGTTGCGACAGACATAAAATTACTTTTTAACTGCAACCGGTAAATACAATTAATAATATTTTATACAATATGTATGTTCTAAACCTGCAACTATTTTACTAACATAAAAAATTCAATATAGTATACAACCTTTGTACTTCGAGTAAGCGAATAAAGTGGAGCATTATTTCAACAATATAGTATTTAATATATAATATTACAATCAATGTTTTAATAACCACTTACGAGGCATGGTTGGAATTTAAACATTCCTATAACGGGTTTTATCTAATCTCAAATTTATATTTTATGAAAATATATATAAATATAATTCTACCTTTGTTATCTGCTATGCTTTCAGCATAATAATATCGACTCTGATCGCTTAGCTATCATTCAGTCGATAAGTAAACAATTCCCATACGGTGAATTCTGTTGTTTAAAATCAACGCCAGTTTAAATGTCTCGAATAAAACAAATTTTTAAAAAGCAACCTTAATAATTATTGTTTTTCCATCAATTGCACGTAATAAGTAATACTTAATTAACTATTTTTTACACTCTAAAATGTCAATCTGCGGCAAAGTTGTTCGGTTCGGAAATTGCATAACTACTGGTAATTTTTACCTTGCTAATGTTAGCCAAAGGTATTTGTCTCACTATCCAATAGACGACAACTTGTTCGGTTTGAATGAAGAACAAATTCAGGTAAGGCGGTTTTTTTTGTACTTTAAGTTTTATTTTTACCTGCCATTCAATCTATAAATCTGTCGAAATAATATTTTATACGATCAAATACTTAAATTATTATATGTTGTAATAAATAGAAAATTATTTTTTAAAAATAAAATCGGATTTTATTTCTTAATATTAGTTCTTAAGCCGAAATTATCTTAACACCTTTCAGCCAAGACAAAGCCGTAGAATTTTTTCAAAAAATCGTTTTAAAATTGTTTAGAAAATAATTTGTTCTTATGTATGAGAAAAACGAGTTACACATTTAGTGCGATTATAATTAAAAAGTATTATTTATTTTTACATTTTATATTTTTTTTAGCTTCGAAAAACAGTCTTTGACTATGCACAAAGCGAATTGGCTCCGAAAGCGGCTGAAATTGACAGAACTAACACTTTTAGTGATCTTAGGGTAAATATCATATTTACAGTTAATACAAAACGAAAACATATTTATTGAAAATTGAATACCTGATAAGTGACACCTTCATCGATTATCAGCACCACCTTATATTAAAAAAATAAATCAATAAATTCACGTACGCCATAAAACTTACCTAAAAATTGTACTTCCGTTTCTCTTATTGTCCTCTACTTGAAAATAAAATATAGCCTACTTCAAAGTTGAGCTTTATTTGAATTATTTTTATCTAAATAAAAAATGTTTTTTATTTAATAATTTATCACATTCATTATTTATTTAAATATTATTTTTTATATTTTGTTATTCGTTGAACAAACTTATTTATTATTTGAGGACAATTGTTTTGATTACTTTGAAATATTTTAAATACATTTCTGTAGGTATAGAAAATAAATAAATAAATATTAAGTGATGTTCCCATCAAATTTGTTGAGAGTATACTCAGCACAATTTAAGAAAAAAGTGTTAAGGTGCTAAAAAAAGGTCTTCCATATGCTATTTCCAAGTATATAAGTTCCAGAGTAATAAAGGTCCTTGGTGTAATAAAGGAGTGAGTGTTTTAATGATAAAAAACAATTTTTTTATAATTTACAAAAACTATATATATATTTTTTTTTTGTAATATTTTTATTAAACTATATTATATTTTATGTACACGACGGGTTTTGCATCTGGGGATGGAAGATAATATTTGAAAACAAAATATTACAAAAATCATAAATGTAAATATTAGTCTGCGTTCACTCTGATAGAGATTTTATTTGTAATATAAATTAAATTAATTTATATTTTTTATAAAGAAATGAATCTACAAAAATAATAACAATTTTTTTTTCGAAAATTAATTTAGACTTGAGAGTATACGTAGTATACCTATGATTTTTGAAAACAATCTTGAGAGTATACGGCGTATATGGAGTATACCCCATGGGAACACCACTTTATTTAAATTATTTATATAAGTTTAGCAATAAATTATTTAAGATAATTGTCTAATTTAAAAACTAAAACATATCTAATATTTTATTTATATAGAGAATGCATGACACTTATTTCAATAAATTTTAAATTATCAATTTAATATTTTAACTACAAATATAAATTATCTTCAACTGTGTAGCTACGAATAAAGTTATCTATTTTTCATCGAATCATCAATTGTTTAGAAATTTATTATTAGAAATTTGCTTAAATCTGGCCACCGGGCCAGATACCATACACCAATATACCATAGGTATATTATATAAATTAAGTGGGCATTAACGATTACAAATAGACTTCCAAGACAAGTCTATCTAGATTAACCATTCCGAACAGCATTTATCGGAAGATAATCAAACTATGAAATATGAGTTAAAAGCAGTTCTGAATATAGCCATTAGCCAGCCATCAATCTTAGTTCCTTTCAGTGTAAAAGTCCACGTAGAAACTTATTCGAGGACATTTAGATTTGCAGTGACCATTTAACTTTGACCTCGAATTACTAGGATCCAGTCGCACGTATGGTTTCCTTTTTCTTGTAAATACCACCCCATTGAAGTTCATTATCGAAAAATTACTGTATCTATTACTTGATTGACGGAATAGAAATGTTGGCGAGAACTGGGGTCGCTCGGTGTACTGGGAATAACAATACCTACCGAATACGAAGGCACCGGTGGGAGTTACATGGATCACGTCATAGCGATGGAGGAATTATCCAGAGCAAGCGGATCCGTAGGGCTCAGCTACGTTGCCCATTCGAACCTGTGCATGAACCAGATCCGACTTAACGGCACGCACGAGCAAAAAACCAAGTACTTGCCCCCAGTAAGCCCGTCGATATTATTTTGCATACCCCCGACCGTGTTTGTTTACAAGATATAATATCGAACTTCCTAAACGTTTCAGCTGTGCCGAGGCGAGGCTGTCGGAGCACTGGCCATGTCCGAGCCAGGTTCGGGGTCCGACGTGGTCTCCATGAGACTTAAAGCCGAACGCAAAGGATCGCATTACATACTCAATGGCAACAAGTTTTGGATCACCAATGGGCCGGACGCCGACGTGCTAGTGGTAATTGAATATTATGGGTTTCACGGTAGTAAAATATCGGGATATCATTTTGGTATGGTCCACAGGTGTACGCCAGAACAGACCAGAAAGCAAAAAAACAACACGGTATTTCAGCGTTCATCATTGAAAAGTCTTTTGAAGGATTCAGCACGGGCCCCAAGCTCGACAAACTCGGAATGAGAGGATCCAACACGGCCGAACTGATCTTCCAAGACTGTAAAGTTCCCGGTAAGTAACAACCACACTGAACATTATTGGCGTTTTGTCCAGTCGAGCACTACCTTCCTTATACATAGCGAATGATTCCGAGTGATGTCCGGTGGATCCATGCCAGGATTCCTGTTAAAGATTAAAACAGAATTGTCCAACAGACTTCCGGTGCTATTAGAGAACCTGACTTCATAGTCTTCTTTTTCGTGATTTGAAATTTTCAAAAAAACAAAGAACCTACAATTAGGGACCTGTCTTCTGTGCAATTCAATTATAAATGTCTTTTTTTACTTGACCGCATAATTATATCGGATTTCAGTTGAAAATCTTTTGGGAGAAGAGAATAAAGGAGTGTACGTTCTCATGTCTGGATTGGACTTGGAACGGTTGGTGATCGCCGCCGGTCCTGTAGGGTGAGTTGTAGTACACCATCGTTCACTAGTAAAACGTTAATTATTATATTTTATTTGACGTTGTTATAATTAGGCTGATGCAAGCGTCCGCAGATTTGGCGTTTGATTACGTGCATTCCAGGGAACAGTTCGACAAAAAAATCGGAGAATTCCAGATGATACAAGTAATGTCTTAATGAGTAATAACATGGAGCAGGCGGCATCATATAAACTCGAGTGGTCGGCGGGAATCCCATTTCTTTATTATGAATATACTTTTTAATTATTCGACGACAACCGTTTGTGTCCTTTGGTTTCCACGTTCCGTTGACCGATTCAAACCACGACCTTTAGATTCTAACAGCCATTACATTCACCTCCACTTTGTCAGCCCAACGATCGATCGGAGGAAGATGATGCCAATTGAATGCCCCCCCCCCTCTTACATTACTTATTTTATTTGTTTACAGGGTAAAATCGCAGACATGTACACGGATTTGAGCTCCAGCAGGAGTTATCTGTACTGCGTGGGAAACGCGTGCACGAAGGGACACATCAGCAGTAAAGACTGTGCCGGAGTGGTACTGTTCACTGCCGAACGGTCTGTCAAAGTGGCCCTAAACGCCATCCAGTGTTTAGGTAAAAATTCAATATCATAATATAATAGTCCGACTGTATTAATTACTTACATTACACGGTTGTACAATAAATTATTCTGTTGACTTGTTCTGTGCAACAGGTGGAAACGGTTACATAAACGATTATGCTTCCGGCAGACTGTTGAGAGACGCCAAGTTGTACGACATCGGGGCCGGGACCAACGAAATCCGAAGACTGGTCATAGGAAGATCGCTAAACAAAGAGTATTCATAAGGAACGTGTATTGTACAAATATCGCATAATAATATTATATTCATTGGCACAAGTGTGTGTGCTGAAAGGAATGCTCCAATTGAATGGACGCCCGAACTCGACTCGTATTGCAAAAAAAACTTGACTATTAAAATATAACCATTAGATGTTGGTTTTTTCAGAAGAAATGTAAAAATTACGAAAGAATGATTATCTGAAATAAAATTTAACTATAAACTGTTATCTGTGTTTTTAGTTTAGTGTTAATTGGTGTACGAAAAAAATGTAAACATTTTAACAAGAAGCTGATTAAATTGGCATTTTGTTTCATACATGGCGTAATTACTGGATCAACCTCGTCAATATCCATAATTATTTTGATCTATAAATATTAATCCAAACATATAAATATTGTGTGTCTCTTAAATAAATTAGTTTAAAAACGAACTAAGACAACAAGCTCTAAGGGCTAAGCGAGATTTGATAAATTGTTATGACGTATACTATTGAGACAATACAAAATAAGAAACACCGTAACAAGAAAAAATACATCAAGTTTTACATTAATAAATATTTCTAAATATATTAAAATTAAATTAAAATTTGAAACATTAACAAGGTAACATAAATTATAGAACTATCAATGATCTTCTAATAATAATAATAATAATCAATAATCATAATAAAAATAAACGGATGATCAAACATTTTGTTCATAGTATTAAAGTCAACTAATTCTAGATGTAAGTCAACTAAAATCGCATTGAATAAGTTTAAGAGTTAACTTACAGTGAACGTCCTGTTTGTGTTAAACGTATGCCACTACCGGTTCATACATTAATAATTAAACAAAAATTAAATTGTAAAGCTATTCGAAAATACAATCCAAGAAAAATATTAAACGCCAAAACATCAATCTTAGTTGTGTTACAACTGTTTATAATAAATATTAGTTTCATAAAATTAGACACAAACTCTATTATAATATATTTGATTGAAGTTAAAATCAATAATATTAATCATTGGTGACTTAAATAAAAATATTGGAGGGACGATAATTGATCGAAAATAGGAATGTATGTTCCTTGTCTCAAAGGACCTTTTTATTAAGTTTGATCTATATTTTGTTCAACGATTTATAGTAGCTCGATAACACTTCCCAAGCAGATGGTGCCATAAATCCAGCTGGTGGTTCTACCCCATCCTTAGCAAGACCTGTAAATGTGTACAGAGTTAATAAAAATTAAAATGATTAGATTTGGGCAAATTTTGAATATGATTCGACGAATAATTTATTTGTTCACAAAATAAAAAAAAACTTTTTATTTAAACAACTGTAGTCTAACTCTACCAATAAAATATAATTTATATATTTATAGTTCAAATTTAACTTGAATTTTTTCTAAATTTATCATAATAAATAAAAATAAGATATTAGCTTTGCTGTGTGTTTTATTTTAAATTAAATAATTATCTAAAATATTTTTTTTCATATTAGAAATGTTTATATTACTTATACTACTTTTACCTAATACAAAGATAATCATGAAAGTGTTCATCATTAGCAAATAATTTTTAAATAAATAATAAAATACATTTTTGATAAAAAAACTAGATAATAATTGTTAGTAAAAAAAAAACCCTGTGGGTGAAGTCTAGAAGATAATTGGTATTTACCCAAAAATACAGGTTTCATTAAGTTTATATTTACTACCTAAACAACTGGAGTGGGTCATGCTTTTAATACACAAAAGCAGGCTTTTGCTAATTGTTTAACTATGGATTATTTTATTTAGATAAAAAATGATAGAAGTAATAGCCAACTCTGCCACTTAGGAGTGTACACGCATTTTTACCTCTCATTTTTGTGCCAGATATGAAATTGAAGTCGCTATGCCTCGTTGAGTCGTAAAAGTCCATGGCCTTTTTAGTCTTGTCGTATGCGGCTACTCGGAAAGGAATGATTTCCATATCGGTCAGTCCGGGTGCCATGGTCAATAAGCGTGCTCCATGTGTAGGATCGTACAAGTCCCTTGGCGGATTACCATCTGGATGAGGAACTCCAGCAGGATCCCTACCAACGATGTAGAAATTCGCTCCGGAAGACATGCGTGCCTTGGCATGCCATTGTACCTAGAAAACAAAAATTAACCATTGTAGTTTATCCATGAAAATGAACTCCACAATGCTTAGAATTGGGTGGTAACTTACTTCAGTAGGTCCGGCATAAGTCATTGGTGACGGGAATATAGCCAAAACGGTGGTTTCTGGATCCAATATACCGTCTCTAAGCACGGCTTTGTGCTGTTGGATTCTCACAGGAAGCGGAACGTCGTCGTCTTTTGTCCAACCGCCGAGCGGATGTAATAGCAGCACCGGTTTTTTATAGCCACGCTCCAACAGCTTTCTCTTGGTGTCCTGCAGCAAAAAAACAAAAGAAATATTTAGATTTGTAAAGTTGATATTAAAAAACCCTGACGGTTTAGGCCCAGCGGGTGTTGCCCAACAAATATTATCAGGCTTATGCGTACTCGAGATAAAATTTAAACTAGTCAAAAACCAGGCTTTTTGCCAACTCTGGTAGAACCACAAACCTGCATCAACAAAGCATGTCCGTTGTGTATTGGATTGCGCAGTTGAAAAGCGAAAATGGCGTCCGCCTTCATTTCTCTCCATTTGGCCCGCAACTCGTTTGGAGTGAAACGTAAGTCGTCAAGACCATCATTCCACATGATCCGTTCGATCACGTCTAAATTGCCACCAACCAACCAATCACCGCTCTCGTTAATTATCTAAAAAAAGGACAGTAAACATAACTTTTTATGCCAATAGTGACCGTTCGAGGTAGGCCGCTTAACACACGACAAGCCATCATTTGCCAATTGAGGGGGTTAAAACCATAGTGGTGAAGTCAAATTAACCATAAGTAGAGACACAAAAAAGTTTAATAAAAACTATACTTGATGATACAGGGATGGACTGCCATCTGGCGGTAAGAGTTATAAGTTGGCACTTGCTTCACTTTGCCTTTCAATAAATTTACTTTTTAAGATATTTAACTAAACTTTTATGAAAATGTGACTTACACCACTATGGTTTAACCCCCTCAATCATCTCAAACTCTTATTTCCTATGGTTTTCTATACAAGTTCTCAAAATGTATCATTCGTCTGCATTTGATACCATTACAAGTAATAATTTATTTTATTTTTTCTCTCGCTTATTGCCTAATAAAAATTACCCGCCACCTTAAAACACTATGAGTTAATTCATTTCCTCTCAGCTCTTTCTAACTACTAACATTACACTATCAGTCAGGTACTATCAACTATCTCATCAATGCATTCTCCAAAGTATTCCGACTACTTTTAACAGTCAAGCCGGCTTGGTAAAAAAATGTACCTTGATGTACGGATGATTGGGATGTAATGTACCAAATTGACGGCACACCCGTTCCTCTTTGCGGTGAGGATAGAAAGACGGTTTGCGAATTATGGCGACCGGTTTTGAATTGTACCATAAAGCAATTTCTTCACAACCCATGAGCTCTTCTTTTATTTTCGTGCTAACTGGTAAAACAATGGGAATGGATTGGTTGACGTCTTCGGAAAAGCTGTTGAAGTGTAAAGTCTAAAAACAAGTCAAAGATTGTACAACAATATAGACGAGTACGAGTAATCTAATATCACGAACAATACTGCCGAAAAACTCATATTACCTGCAAATATTCTTCTTCGTTCATAAATCCATTCAGCGGAGCTGCCCATCCTTCAGCTAATACTTGTACCCACTGCATGTCTAATTTACCAATATCGAGTCTGGGGAGTTGTAGCGCCTCGGCTTTAGTTTTTTCAATAGCGTTTTCCGGAACAAACAATTCGGGTATGCGAGCGACCTCGCGGTTGATTTGCAAGGGAATAATTTCCTAATAAATTTAAATTACAAAAAATTATTTAAAAAAACTGTTATTTTCGGCGACAAATGCATATTTTTTATATCATGTTTTTAAACATATAATTACTTATTTCCCTTGAACTTACGTTTTCTTCGAGCATTTTCACTACTTCCATGGTACTCTCTTCAATTGATAAGTGGACAGTTTTCAGAACCAGCTCTGGCGAGTCTGGCTTTTCGTAAACTTGGTCAACTCCAGTGAATCCTAAAATGGTTTTATCACTCTTTAAAAATAAGTTTCATCTCATATTATTTACATTGATAATATGAGTTCCAGAGATAGCACATCTCCCTTAGGACATTACAAATGTGGGTGGTACATATTTGTATCGTTTAAGTAAAATATTAAATTTAATTTCTCCCACTGCGTTATCAATATTATTGTTTACGCTCATGGTTTTACCAAGATTTACATATAATATTACATCAAAATCTCGGATTAAATATGCCCAATGTGAACAAAAAAATAACTTATATTTTACCTATTTATAATAACTCTAGAGTCTAGACATTATAAATAAATGTATAGTAGTTTATGATTTTTTTCTTCGGAGTTGGCAAAAAAAAACAAAATTCAAAGAAACCCGCCAAGTTTTTTTAGTGTTTAATCCAGAAAATGTTTGGTATTTATTCAAATATAAACCCGGGTTTTATGTTTGAAAAAACCTCGGTTTATGCCAACTCGACCTTGTTTCAATTACCTTTGATTTCTCCAGCTCTGGCTTTCTTGTACAGACCCTTAACGTCCCGTTCTTCGCAAACGCTAAGTGGAGCGTCCACGAACACTTCGAAAAACGGTAGATCAGCGTCCTTGTGTATTTTCCTGGCCATTTCTCGATCCTGCAACGATCACGCGCTATTAGTTTTTGAACATAGACATTAAGTAATATGGCAAGTGGCCGAGACGTACCAATAGTAAAGATTTTTTTTTGTTTTTTGTCATCATAACTAACCTGGTTGAACGGGGAGACAAAACTGCACAAGGTAACGACCCCGCTGTCGGCAAACAACTTGGCCACCTCAGCCACTCGTCTGATGTTTTCTTCGCGGTCGCCAGGACTGAAGCCCAAGTCCCTGTTCAAGCCGGTCCGCATGTTGTCGCCGTCCAGACCGTAAGCCGGTATACCTCTGGCCACTAAATAAGCTTCCAGTTCGAACGACACCGATGTTTTACCCGCGCCCGAAAGTCCTGTGGAAACCATACAAAATCCAGGTACGATTAAGTCAAGCACAAATCGAGATCACTTTACAATGCTTTCTGAGTTGGCCACAAACTACGTTTTTTTATTTTTGAGGCTTGGGTATTTTGTTTTTGCCAACTCTTTATGCTATACTTACCCGTAAACCAGACGGTACATCCGCGGAATCCTCGGACGTTTCCCAGCACTTGTCCGCGTTTATCCCGGGACACATGGTGTTTCTGGACGGTAACGTTTGTGGCCACCTGAAAACAAAAACCCCGGTCTCAGTACTCAGACTATATAAAATGGCGTCACTACTATATACAATTAAGCAGAGAAACGTCGACAGGTAAGAAACCACAGCCTTCCAACGTTTAGGCGGACGCATAGGTGACCGGCATACACGGCGAAACAGGTCTGAACCCAGTAGACACGACCGAGTGAAACCGTCTGAAGAGTTGGATACGATTCCGTCACACGAGTGTGACATAACAAACGTAAGCACAACCGTAAGTATAGTTATGTATTATTGCGGAGATGATACGGAAGTGCAAGTTGGTTACGAAACTAGCCAGCAGGCAACGGTGGTACAGGAAATAAATCCGGCCAATGCTCCAAAACATGTATTGAGCTACTTTCTCTGGTGAAAGCCGGTCGACCTTGATGCGCGACAATAATGTCATCATAATAAAAAAAAAAAAATAGTGATAATTACTAAGCCCATTTGAATTTCATCAGATACAATTTCAACAGAAATTTTCTCGCAGAATTGTCAACAAACCGTGTTAAAAAAAAACCTAACCTTTATACATACATATTGTAAGTACGGTTCATCCGATAAAATTCAACATTTTTGGGTAAATACCAAACGTTTGCTGGGTTCAAACAAAAAGAAAACCCTACATGGGCATTGGGCAACACTAATGTGAACATCACCAATAATTGTCATACAATTATTTTTGAAATTGTAATTTACGACGATCACTTACAAATAGCGGGTTTTTTACTTATGACATTAAAACATGCAAAAACCACATAAAGTGATCAACATATTATTATGCCGGAAAATATCAAATAAAGTTTAGTCGTTGTGAATACGCTCTTATCTTTTCAAGTGCTGTAAACTTTTTGCTATCAAACCACAATAATTAAAGTCGTTCGAGTATAACAGGAAACCGCGACACATAATAATTTAATAACCATGTTAGTATTGCATTGTCCTACCTCGTACGGAGTAAATTATTAACTAACTTTTAAGTCATGTACATTCGTCAATTTTTTTGTTTTTAAAGTCACATGATATAAAATCAAAGATGACAAAAAAAAAAAGTGTTTTTTTACTACACAAAAATATGGATTTTCTGTAGTTATATTGGGTTAGCTATGCACATCCAAACAAATTTAACTGTATCAGACTTTTTTTAAACCCTAGTTTTTTCTATATGGCAAAATACGCAAGACAAAACATTATATTTAAAATTACTGTAGAAATGTTTTAAATAATCAAATGTGATTGTCAACGTTTGGGAAAACAAACGTTTTTAAAACAATTAAGTTTTTTTGGATGTACATAAGTTCTACAAAACCCATATTTAGGGTAAATATTAAACGTTTTCTAGGCTTCAACATAAAAACCTCATTTCGAATTTTTTTTTGTTTGCCATTTATTATCGACGAAAAACTAATATAAAATACGCAAAGTTCTGAATCGGGATAATTATCGGGCGGAATAATTATTATTAAAATATATTTACAATCTGTTAAATTAAAACAATAGGCAAATTTTATATAATATGTTAGTCATGTATATACATACATGACTTGAATAACATGACGAGGGGGCCGTTTCACTGCAATTAAAAATGTATAAATGTTATCATTTCCTAGTGGGAATACAATTTCTTACACAGTATACGGTGCTATATACATACTTCCGATTTTCCGCGGGCTGTTTTGGGTCTAAAGTTGGTGGTAGACATGTCGTGACGGTGATATGATTTTCGACGATACCGAAACGGACGTTAAGTATTAAACTCACATACACACACCCGAAAGATAAGGCCAATAACAATGTTTACTCGGCGAACGTGTGGTTCCTAATGACCGGCGAAGGAGACCACGACAACCGTCTATAAGACACGACAGAACCGACGAGGAACTCTTTCTTCCCCTTCTCAAGCCATGACCTCCATTGCCCAATAGCTCATTACGATCTCTCGTCCGCAAATCACACACTCTCGCCGCTAGCTTCCTTCCTGCGTTGTGTAAACACCACACTAAACGATTCATACATAATAACATTTTTAATTAACTATATTTTGGGCGAGTTCAAAGCCAAAATCCAGGGGGGGAGGGGTTACCCTGACGCGGTTCGTGCAAATTGCAGGTAGGTCCGTCGAGACAGGGCCACATTTTCCATTAGGCAAGATAAGCACGTGTCCATGGCCCCAAATTAATAGGGCCTTACTTTAATTGCACTCTAGATTTTTTTTAGAAAAAAATGTATTTATATAAAAAACTATAGAGAACATTCATAATAAAATATTATTCAAAATATTCAAGTAACAGTTTTCCTTATTTTATACCTAACAAATACAATAAAAGATAATTTTTAAAAGCTGAATTAAATTAGGAACTTTGATAATCGAACAAAATACAATATTATGTTAGCTGTAATAATAATTTATACTAAAGGCAACCTGTCAATTGTAAATTTGTAATTTATAAATAAATAAATAATACACTTATTAAATAAATTAATATTTAAAACCCTTAACCATAAAAATAATACACTCCTGCGAGAATGTAACGCAGAGAGTGTATGATTTTTTATTTTTATGGTTAAGGGATTAAAATATTAATTTTCTAGAATACATTTATTATTTATTTGATTTTTTTTATGAGCATCCGAATGCATAAGGTATAAGCAGATGTGAACAGTAATAAAATAAAACTACCAATACTTACCGAGATCATCTGAATTCAAATTTATTAATAAATCCCAAATCATACAAAAAACTATAAATGTCACAAAGGTATCTCTAATAATATTACCATTTGTTTGAAAAATATTATTATTATTAAGTGTCTAAATCAGGCTCTGCGTCGAGGAAGAGCTATATAATAATATAATACTATTCGGATTAGGTTAGGTTAGGACGTTGTTTTTTAATTTTCTTATTTGTCGGGTTATGCGTATTATTATCGTCAATATTATAAACAGTCAATAGTAATAATAATAATAATAATAATAACGTATGCGGTTTTCGGGCAGCCCACGCTGGTCGGGTTCTTAACGAGGAAATAAGAACACCGCGCGATGACCGCAAAATGATTGACAAGTCCCGAGTTTGTACATTGTCAGTGGACGAAGGCCGCAGCCAAAGCCCATATTATATTATTATCATTATATCTAATGCACGCGAAATGATGAAGCGTTAAATTTGGCCGCGGGCATAAAACGCCTCTCCCATCGTCATAGCATATACTGACGTGGTCGTATATTATAATGATACGTATATGGGTATTCTTATATTGTTGTAACAACATGGGATAATATAATATCATGGTATTATAACTACCAGTATATTATGCGAATACCTGGCAAGAACGCAGAACGCCAGTTTTACAAATAACGAACTCGGTCGGTCTGTAAAAAATTATTATACAGAGTACATCTAAACTTTACATCAAAACACATAAACCAACCCTTCAGCTATAGATGCGTGTCTAATAATTATATTTCAAGTGCAGTGTCCCCAAAAAAAAGAGAGGGGGAGTAATTAGGTCGACTTATCTTACTCCTCTAAAATGTCTTCAAGTCACCCTAGAAAATTTGTGAGAGTATAGTTCTATTTTAAATTGACTTTTTTAAAACAAAAACCAAAATACATCAATTTTTTAAAAAAAATGTTTTGTCGAACCCCAATCCGATCACAAATTTTCTCTAGCACGTCATGTTATTTTTATATTTATATTCACATTTGAGAATTATACGTTTGGACAATTTTCTAAAAGGAATTTTAAATGGTGTAAACGCAATAAAATATAATAAGAATCTTCTTATCCCATTTTTTCTAAATTCAGAACATGAATTGGGCCAAACAAGACTCATTGTACAATTTTAGGAAAAAATGTGAATCGTTGATCAATTAATTGATTACTATGATCAAAATTCATCACTTCGTTGACGCCACAAAATATCAATTCGTTTTTTATATTTTACATAATATATTAGTAAAAAATTGTATAATGTGTTAGCTATTACTTTTGTTATAAAATTAATGTATTTTCTTAACAAGCTTCAGTTGAAAATTTAAAAAGGAATAATAAAATATTAATTTTGATTTAAACTTGTTTATTTGAATTTGCAAAATAGTGGCTTGTCCCAGAGATAAAAAATTGGAACTAAAATCGTAATTAAAAACGAATAAATCAATTTTAATACCTCTATCCTCTCCCTTAAGACAGTAAATTAATTTCACGTCAAGTGTTAAAACTTGGGGCAATGTGATACAGATACTATCGAAGGGTCTGGGAATATAGGTGACATTTTAGGTAAAACATTTATTTATTTTATTTTATTGTTTTATGTGTTATTGCATCGTTTTATTTTATTTAACACCCCAACTAAAAATCTAAATCCACAAACAAACAATATACCACAGTTATATCAGAAACCAGTTAATATTTTCTTTTTAGAATTATTAAATTATATTATTATTATATTATATTATTTTTAATTATAGTTGACTTAAATTATATTTGTCTACACGCTTGTTACCTAGTGACAAGATAAACTATTGAATTGTTGAGCACATAGTTCACTTAAAACAGATAATATAATATTATGTTTATAAAAGAACAACAAAGTTCGCTATACCTGTATTATACTATTTAACTATATTTCAATATTACAGCTAACAAAAAAAAACTTCTAAAAGATAGCAGTGTATAAATAAATAAAATGGAGCGCTTTTCAAGGACATATATTTAGAAAAACACACAGGACATAATCGCCCTTTTTTTACCCACGTTAAGAAGTGTCATTATTTAAGGAGTAAAAATAAATTGACATAAACTACTACAGGTCAACAAAAACTTGTAGTGTTTAATGTTAGGTAACGAAAATTATCTTTTAACTTTTTAGCATATCAAAGCATTTGTAGATTTTAAAAATGTAGGGACTAAAGAGTTAAACTAGGTAATTTAAATATATAAAAATAGTTCTGTGGTTTCGTATAAAATTGGTGATCTTTTCCGTTGAATAAATATATACAATACAACACATGACCCTTAGTATTTTGTTAAGATTTAAAATTATTGCACCCACTAATTAAATTACAATTTAAGAAACAATGTAGACATTATAATATAATTTTAAGTAGTAGTATAAATACATTAATTACTAATGAATACCACACACATTCAATGAGCGGCGTCATCGGAGTAAAAAACTTAGATCTGGATCTAACGTTTGTTTAAAAATTGTTACAAG